TAAAAAACAAGTGCTGGAAATGGCCATCAACAGTTGAGTATGCTTTGGAAACGATCAGTGCTGGGGTTCATACAAGTTCAGTTGAGCTCTCAGCATCAATTGGCCTTCTCTGTTCACCACCCACAAACAAATAAATGTAATATATCAAGCAATACGTGTCTGAACATCAACAATTTGTCCACAAACATAATGGCAAAAGGCACTGGCAGTAACAGCATTATGACTTGCACTCTATGGCTCAAACAATCCCAGTTTCCTCTCAGAGGTGTTAAAACAAAGAGATTACTTCTAGTACACAAATCTCTGGGGTACACACTAAGCTCAGTGACTCGGACTCCATTTCTTGCCTCACTGTCACAGTGCTGGCAGCTGTATCACATCACAGCACCATCACTGCTCTCAACCCTGGGACGCCACAAACCAAATGAAAATGCCAAGAAAGGCACAGCAGCTCAAAGCAGTCACGAAGGAATGAATGTACCTGGTGTACTACATGCCATGGTGAGTCACCAGAATGTACTTTCCCCCTCCTATCACAAGATGTGTTGCAGTTGTTCTGGAATATGATTCAACATTTTAAGGGTTTGCAAAGCAGAGAAAAAGTAGAAAAAGAGCTGGGAGCTAAATCAAATGAGAACACACTTCTAAAAGATTAAAGCTTTCCATGATAGTCTTAAAAGATCCCACAATTAAACCTCTATAGTCAGCTGCTGATCAAAGGGCATACAGATACAGAACCAATAAAAAGGAAACCAAAACAAAAGAGAAGGTGAAGCCAATCAGACTGGTATTTATTACATTAAAAAAATGCATATACATTGGTGAAAATCTTGAACAAGCAATTACACCTCAGCCAGAACACAGCACAGGAAAACATTCAGAGGAAATCATGTGTGAGACAAGGAGATGATCCAAGACATCTTGCATGGCTTCACCAAGGGCAAATCGTGCCTGACCAATCTAGTGGCCTTCTGTGATGGAGAGGTAGCACTGATGGACTAAGGAAGGGCAACTAATGTCACCTACCTGGACTTGTGCAAGGCCACTGATTTGACCCTGCACCACATCCCTATCTCTAAATTGGAGTGATTAGGATTTGAAGGGTGGGCTGATGGACAAGGAGTTGGTTGGAAGGTCACAGCCAGAGGGCTGTGGTCAATGGATCCATGTCCAGGTGTCTTGAGACTGGTGCTCTTCAACATCTTTATTGATGACACAGACAGATCAAGCATACCCTCAGTGGGTTTGCTGATGATACCATCAAAGAAAAAGGAAAATCCTGCTAGGAGAATTAAATATGAAAACAGTCTCTGCAACACCTCACTTTGAGCTACTCTGCTCATCAAGCTACTCTGAAATGAAAACACCATGCCACGCACTGAAGTAAACAGAGAAGGCAGAAGAAGCAGACTGACACTGACTTCTGCATCTGACCATGAAATATGGCACAAGAGACTGTGAGTAACTGTTCTGCCTGTAATTCAAAGCCAGTAATACCTTAATGTGAGCAGGTCTAATGATCAATACATGATACTCTAAGTCAGTTCATTTCTGTAATGTTACTGTATAAGCTTTTAAAAACAATGACAACTATTTCTAGCTGGTGTGTAAAGCCTTACAGATAGCAAATATTACCTTAATGTATTAACAGATTTGCACACAGAGCACCACTTCAAAATAATTACTACAAGTGGGCATTAAGATTCAGGAGGGACAATCCTTTTCTCATTCTTAATCGGATGTTCCAGAAGCTAGGTGATCTCCTGCAGAGCAGCTTGTGAGGACCTTTATGCCAGATCATGCCCACAGCACAGGGATACTGGACTGGTCCTTCAGCCATCCATGTATTGCACTTCTCCGTACAGCTTTTCATTAAAATCACACAAATATACACTGCAATATATTCCAGCAAAGTTGCACAATTTTGTTCGAATGCTTTGGTTGATGTCTCAAAAATGCTAGACACTGATGTGGAAAATAGGCGAGCAGAACAAAACACACCCTCAAGCTTCATCTAAGTATCAGTAACGATGGCTGTATCACACTCTGAACTCTCCCCAGAGCACTCAAGTAATTACTTACTACCTGGGCAAGTCACTTTTATGAGCTTGTAGCAGGCTACTTGCCACTCCTCTATTTTCCCTCTCGGATAGCTAAGAAACCAAGCTATGCAAACAAAGCAGAAAAATAAGTGGAACTGTTGCACAGGTCAACTCTTCAAGTAAATCAAGCAAAAGAGTTTTGATCAGAGAACAAGACTAGTAGAATGGAATTACAGAAAGAAAAAAATACATTTCTTTAACTCCTAAAATGTTATAAAGCGTTTCGGAGTGAAGTCATACCGAATTCTATAAAATCCCTTGCTTTTTACCACAGCTGTATCAGTGTTGCCACTAACTACCAATGTTTGTACTTGTTTGACAAAAAAAAACAAAAGCCATGTTGCTTTTGTAAAAGCCACACCTTCCTCAGGGCAGGCCGCCCCACAACAATATAGGCTTTTGTTCCAAAAGCTGAAGACATCTATCTATTGCTCTACGAACCCAAGGGAAAATTGAAAACGAGTTATACAGGTTCAAAGTTGATGCCAATATAAATTCCAACATTTATTTCTGCTATTGGTTTTCTTTTTCGAAATAAAAGCCTCTTCATTTTGTAACTTGACTCATCATATTTCCACGCCTGGAACTCCCTTTCCTAACCTCCACTGCATAAAAATACAAGTTAGAGAGTAGGCTATTTATTAGCTATAGCCCTTCTTTTGAATTTCAGTAAATTACTATATCAAAATCATTATATTTTAGGAACCTGATATTCAATGCAGCTACATGCAGTTTTTGAGGATTGCTAAAGTGATTAATTAACAGCTTGTGCTGATATTTATTTTCAGAGTAACTCCTTAAAAAGCCAGCCAATTAAAGGAGCATAACCAACATTCAGCCGCTCAGGTTTGACTGTTTTTAACAGCAAAAGCAATTTCACTCAACTGTTAAAGGAGGAATCCCTAATATCCCTGTTATTAGGAATCCCATACTCAAATTGTATTTGCAGGGGAGTACAAGTCAGCTTTAATGCAATTAAATGCACTGGAACTTGGCCAGAAACTTATGACAAATCCAAAAGCCAGTCTGCCCAACAGTACAATGCGTACTTGTTTATACACTTTTCTTCTGCACCATTTGATGACAAAAACAAAAAAGTGCACTCAGGCTTCTGCTTAAATGAAACTCTTCCTGTTTAAAGTTAACTCATCTTAAATAAGTCACTTCTAAGCTTCACCACGCCCTTGTACAGACCAAAAGGTTTAGCCAGAACTGTAGCTGTATGGAGCCATGAATTTTATTACAAAATAATTCAAAATAGCATCTCAGAATGATACAGAGATAGAAGTTTTAATTCCATGGTCTGAGTCCCACTCTTCCAATCGCCTGCTATACTAACAAAGGCAACTTACCACAAGTGTCCCAAAAGCAATCAAATGCTGATTTCACAGACAAGGGAAATGAGAAATGTTGCAAACGTGGGACAAACAAAAGCCAGCTGGGAAAAAACAAACCCCCTCAGCATCAGCTGAAGTAAACTTTAGAGTTTCACAAGGGAAGAATTGGCCACACAGCAAAAAAGTTACTGCTAACGAGCTGTTTTCTATAGCTGCTCACACAAGCCCACTGCAAAGGCAAGAGGTGTTACATTTTGAGAACAGCAATTTCTTACTGCCTTGCATTTAGTGTGTAACATCTCAGAGAATAACATGCAGTCACTTCCTCGTGAGTCAAAGGCCTTGGATGAATAACAACTAAGCAGTAAGATGCCAAGTGTGAAGCAGAAGTTTAGCAAGCATAGAAACGCAACTATGTCAAACACCGAGCAGTCTTAGCAACGTATCTTAGGGCACTTCTATTATTTTTCTTCATTAAAGAGTTTCAGTGAGCTGATATTTACTCTATCACCTGAATGTCTTCTACCAGGTTTTGGCCTCTTCAGGGGCCTCACCAGACCATACCACAAAGCAATTAGTACACTTCATTAACAGTTCAAAACGAAGCAGTAAGGGAAATAATTTTCAAGAGCAACTTTTTAATTCTATTGACTATCTTGAAAGTTACCACCTTTATCAGCTTAGACAACTTGATCGCAATAGGTTCCACATCATGTGTGTAAATTCACCTTTGGTAACATACTCTAAACACTAAGAAAAACCCTTTATGCAGTTCTGTTTTGAACTTAAACATTACACTGAGAAACAACAAGATTTTGAGTTGGCCAAGCGTACTGCTGTGATTAAAGTAATCATGAGAACAGGTGACTCTTCTTTTCCTATCTGAAAAAGGCTTCAGGAAATCCTCATCAATCAAACTGTCATTTACCAAACATTATTTCTCATTTAAAATGTGGAAGAGCAAACCCCTTAGATTTTTGCAACTATGAACAGTACTGAAACATTGCTTTTCTGATTCACATATTAATTCACCAGATCCAAAATCACGTAACAGTTGGATATTAAGAGTAAGTGAATAAAGATGGTATCAGAAGCCTTCTACAAGTCAATCATGCCTACTCAGAGGAAGTTCTAGACATACTTTCTTTTAAACAAAGGAAGACCACAGAACATGCCTTAGCAGTGCGTACTGCATGCCTTGAAAGTCTGACTACCTAAAAAATCCTGATTACTGGAAGATTCTTCTGGAAAGAGTCACAAAAGTAACAAAATTCGCAACAGTTCCATATGTCATACTTGCAGTAAAACAAAGACATTACTCTACATGCCAGCAAAATTCCATAAGTGTTTGTTAAGCATTTCAGCTTTAGGTAAACAGGTTAGACAGCTCCCTACAGACTACAGTGACAGCAGATTTCCCTATTGAGTTTTATTCCTTTGAGGTGCATGCTACAATTAAAATAGGGGAAAACATTTACACATTACCAATTCTATTAAAAGAAACAGAAGTCACCAATATATCTCTATTAAGATATCTGTCAAATTCCTGGTTTATGCCTACCTGGCAAAAGTACTGGTTCCAGTTTTTTAATCCTGGGTTCTGAAGTTATATGGTCTTCAGTCTGGGGAAGGAAAAAAAAAGGGGGGGGGAGTTTAAAAAAAAAAAATCACAATTTTGCAACAAGATACAAGTTTATTTGGGCAAAGGAGAAAGTTCTTCTTTGAACTCAGAGCTTATTTTTAAAAGAGAGTCTCTAATCATAGTAACAGCTTTCTGTAATGCTATCAACAGGCTGCAGACGTGCAGCTCCATACTAAAAGGATGTTATAATACTTTAAGTGCTAACTTTTTACTAACCACGTAACTCAAGACACAGTAAGTCAGAAGATAATAAAAACCACAAAAGCTTGAGTCCTACAACAAGCTCCATACAGACACAGGCATTCAGATTCGCACAAAACTCTGCTGGCTTTTGATGTGAGTGACTTTCCTGGCCTAGGAAGAATTCCCTAAAACCAACCCTAGAACATATCTACCTGCATTTTAGTTCCAAATTTTAACAATAAAAACCCTTGTGTAAGAAGATCGGAACCCTCAGCACAATAAGCTCAGTGCTCACTCACCTGTCCTATACTGAAAGTGGTACCGACACCTTCCAGGACCAACAGTCCCAGAACTACACAACCCCGGTGCTTCACTTTTACTAAGTTTCTCTGAAAAAGCAAAGCCGAATCCACCTGCCAATCGTGCTGCTACAGCCAGGCTGCCCAGCTCTCTGCAGATACATCTTTATCTCTACCGATAAAGAAATGACTGTCAATGCCATAGCGCTCTCTCGGCTCACACAAGAAATCCCAGCAGTTTTACTGTGATTTTCTTCTTCGTGCCACCAGCCAAATGTTACAAGTGAAACAAACGATGGCCACAGTGAAAGGAACCGCTCTCACCGCGGGTGGGTTTCTGCAGGTGAGGCCGCTGCCGCCCAGCACAAAGGCACGCCGCTCAGCTCGGGAGCCAGCTGTCCCAGGAGCTAGAGCGCTGCTCCAAGCTGAGAGCCTCGCACGGGTGGGTTTAACGGACACGAAGCCGCGCTCGTGGCCAAACTGGACTCATCTCCACACACCGCCGTGAGCTTTCGTTCCTCCACGCACGGGGACCCCCCGGGGCCAGCAGGTGCCGCTCCCCAAGGCCAGGCTCGGAGCGGGCAGCTCGGAGCAGCGCCTCAGGGCCAGGAGGGAGGCGGCCCGGGAGGGAGAGCAGCGCCGGCGGCGGCCCCGGGTAAGAGCAGGGCGAAACAGGGATGAGAAACTGTTACCTGAGGCAGCGGCAGAAGGTACGACTTGAAGGTGGGTTTGGGAGGCTTGAGAGAAAACATCGTGGCTACCGCCGGGAATCCCAGAGGGCTGGCGGGCGGGGAGGGGCCGGCGGGCAGGGCCGCGCCGTGCCGAGCCGAGGAGGCCCCGTCCCGCGGGGGCTGGGTGCCGACAGCCGCCGGCGGAGGCCCGGTGCCCCGCAGCCACCCGGGGCGGCGCGTTCCGTCACGCGGCGGCGGCCTCAGCGGGCGGCGGCGTAGGCGGCCCCCGCGTGCCCCCCTTCCCCAAGGGAGGAGTCAGCGGCCTGGGCGGGCCCGGCCTGGGGCTGCCCCCAGCCCTCATGGAGCCCCCCGCGGCTCCTCCGCCTCCCCACGGCGCAGCCTTCCCGAGCGGGGCCCGGCGGCTCCCTACGGCCGGCGGCGGGCGGGCGACGGCGGCTCCGGCGGGCGGCGAGCAGAGGCGAGCTGCGCCGGGGCGGCCATCTTGGGCAGAGGGGGCGGGGAGCGGCCTTCCTACGGCGGCGCGCAGGGGCCGGGCGGCCGAGGGCAGGAGGGGCTGCTACACCGCGACGGGGCGGCTGCCGGAGTCAGGCCCGGAGGGGGGCGGCGCGCGGTCGGCAGCGAACGGAACCGAACGGAACCGAACGGAACCGAACGGAACCGAACGGAACCGTCGGTCTCGGCTCGTTGTCTGCTGACCGGGCAGTCCCCATGGGCCCCGCTGGTGGGAGCTGACGGCGTTTCTTAGGAAGCTACTTTTTTGATCGTCGTAGAATGGCTTAGTTTCGAAAGAGATCTTAATGGTCGTCGAGTTATAGGTTACAATAAAGTACGTCAACTCATTTTCTTTGTGGAATCGCAGTCGTCACAAGATGATTGGCATCTTCTAAGCAGCAGAGCGTGCCAGCAGCTTTCATTTTGTGTTCTCAGGGGGCCGTGCGGCCCTTCACTCCTTAAACCATTCACATTCACGAGCGCCCTGCCTGCTCCCGGTGCGAGGATCGCTCCCTCGACCCGCCGTGCCCCTCAGCACCCTGCTGTCACCCTGCCATGGGGAGCTCCCACGTCCCTCTGGCACAGCCGGGAGCCTGGCATGTGTTGGCTGCATCACCAACTGGTGAAAAAATAAGAGGTAGATGGGGGTGCTCACCTGTGTGTGTGCACCAGCTCTTGTAACAGGTAAAGCAGCTGAAATAATTTCTGAATTGTTCCTCAGTGAGTAAATCAGGAATTTGGAAATGAACGGGTACTGTGCTCTCTCACAGCTCTCGTGTTCTGTAACAGAAAGTTGTGCGAATTGCAGATGTCAGGAGCTGACTGCCATGGGCTAGAGAAGGGCTGACGTTTGCATTCAAGGTGAGGGCCCCATACACTATAACACAACAGATAAGGGGCAGAAATAGCAGTGATATTGTTACCCACTTCCTGCAGTAGAATGCTGTTATTTCTGACCAGAAAGAAAGTAGCTGTTGGTTACAAAATCTTCCCCATTTCCTCCCTCACCCACCAGCGTGTGCTTCCAGATGAGTGAAGGGGAATTTGCTTGCAAAGCCTCCCATGGGCACAGCCTGGTCTCTGGGCAAGCACTGAGAGCCTGCATCTGTCCCTGCCTGTCATGAGAGGAAACAGACACAAAAGGCAAGGTTTGGAGGCACGATATTAAAATGTAGACGAAAGCAGAGGATTTTGATGCTTGGAAGCTGTGAAACATCTCTGCATAAGGCCTGCAAAGGGAGGCGTTTATTGTAACCCAGGGTTGTCTCAGATAATTACCTTTAAAATCTAACTCCAGCATGAATAAACTAGTGCTACCAAGTTCATCTTACTGCCACTTCCACACCAAGTATATCACCTTGTGGCTATGGAAAGTTAAGCACATCTTGGTGCTGCCCTGGGTTGCTGCCACAGGCACCTTTTGCTCATCACATTAAACATGTGAACAGCTGGAGAGAGCAGCTGCACATCTTCAACCACAGAATTCCCTTCAGTGAGGTGCACCTGCTGGTGCTGCCCTGCTGCCAGTGTGCTGGAATGAAGGAGCTGGGGATCTGTGGGCTGGCTATGAGCTAGGCATAGGTCATGGCAAGGCTCGTGGGATAGGGCCATGAGCAGGAGGCCAGGACTTGCCAAAATAATCGTCAGTACAGTATGTGGGCACTGTAGCCTCACTTTATTGAAAATGGTGGGTGTTGGGTTTGTTTGTTTGTATGTTTTTGCTGTTTTCTCTTAACAGCTCACATTTAAGACATCAGTAAAGGCCTGCTGCAGTATAATAGTAATTTAACATCACCACAACATAAAGACAGTAAAGAATTAAAAGACTCCAAGAGAACAGAAATATTTTTAGGCCCAAAATTACACACGCAACACCCAGCATCTACCACAAGATCAAGGTCTTCCCTTGCTGCAGTTAACAGGAAACACATCACACACTGTTATGTGTTCAGTGAACGAACAGACTTTAGGGCACCATCCAGATGCCCTGACTAAAATGCAAAGACCCACCAATGGGAAGAGGTTTGCTTGAACAGTGAGGAGGGGAATGAACCACCAACACCTGCCTAGGCTGAGGAAGGAAATGTGTGCATACATTTAGAACTGTGCAGCAGCTCAGGGCAGAACACCAGCAAAGACCTCCACAACCATATACTATGCTTGGACTTTCAGGCAGAGAAGATGAACACAAACATATCCAGGACTTTTTTAGAACAAGTGCAGCTCTTTGCCCAAGGGTCCCACCTGTACAAAATTAGTGGACAATTCCCTTCTTTTACTTTTACATGTAAGGTTTATATTTTATGTTGAAGAATCATTCTCTAAGTGTCACTGTTTAATGTGTGTGGTATTGGGCTCTGCTCCTTTCCGTTTTAGATGCATTGTGCTACAGAATCTGCTAGAATCTATTATCAATAATGAGTGCCTGACAGTGCTGTGAGTGCAAGCCATAGCTCCCCTCCTGCTGGTGACTGATCCCCTTTCATAAGCTAAATCCCTTGGATGTTTGATAAGTGAGAAACCCTGCAGGGACTTGTCCTCATCTTTATTCTTGTAAGTTTTTTATTATTCAGAACAGTGTTGAAAGAAAATTAAAATCAGGAAAAGGGTAGGAGAAAGCAAGGGGGAGAGGAGGGGAGAAACAGTCCAAATCAGCTGGGCTTAAAAATTACGTATAACAAATTTGCCAGTATGATTAAACCTGTCAATTATTATTATCAAATCAGAATTACAAGATTGTCCCTGCATGCCTTAGATGCCTTCTAAGAAGTGGCTGTAAAGGCAGTTTTACTTGAGGGAATGAGCATTTCAAAGAAGGACTGGACTGACATTCGAATGGCAGTGCTGTTCTGAAAATGCATAAACTCAGTAAAGTTCTCTGTAAACATAAGATCACAAGATTTGTGAGGGTTATTGTTGGAACTGGTCACAAGTTGTCACTGGAAGAGTTTTATGCTAGTGGGAGCAGAACGCTGATTTTACAGAAGTGAGTATTTTGGAGGAGCAAGTTAATTCTGTCTCAACTTGTGGTAGAATACAAGCAGACAGAGCAGTTAGGAGGTAAGAGAGGCAGAGCCAAACACAGCAGACAGGCAAGGCAGGTAGGGCAGGGCACGTGAGGCAGGCAGGCAGGACAGACAGGGAAGTCCACTGAATCCCCTGACTACCACCTTTTGGCAGTGCACTCAACTGTCTGCCCACCTCCAACCATTCTGTCTTGCCTCACTTGCTCACTGTTTTCAAACAGTTCTGAAAATAGTTTCTGAAAATAGTTTCATCTTATCAAAGCAGTCCTGAAAGAAAGGAGGGAAGCTATCTAGGGAACAAAGTCAGTGGATCTGAAAAGGATTCAACTGTCCATTTTTATTCCAACAGGTTTTTTTTAATGGCACTTTTGACACAGTGCAGTTATTTTCATTGCTAAAACATTAAGTTAACTCCCATATGCTAGATTGGCCAGGACCCTTACACTTTTCCACTGTCATGACCACCCCAGACCAGCTTGGCCAGCTTTCCTGGTGGTATCAGACCCCACATGCTGAGTGCCAGTTTTCTGAAGCCTCATATATAGTGCAAATTACTTGTAACAGTGAGATATCTAGGATATTTATCTGCTTACCTATGGCTGTGGTGTGTAACTTGCTGTATTAACTGCCCATCAGTTTAGGTATCTTCTTGAAAATTCTGGTAAAACCTCACAAATCAGCTCTGTGGTTAGAGAAGTACTTTGGTTTATGCAATGCTGGAGGTCTAGGGTTAAATAAGAACAGACTTTCATGACGATCCTTTTTGATCTCAGCAGATTATGGAATGGCTTTCATTAGACATGTTCAAGAACAGGTTAGACCACCATCTGCCACTGATGCTATCATGGCAGTGCTGAACTCACTTCATTGTTGATGATCTGTCTCTTCCAGGCCTGTATTTCTGTGGTAACTTAAGGGTTTCATAGCATAATGAAGAATAGTTCAACTATTGATTTGCACTCCAGGACACATGGATGCACATCTTGTGTGATTTCTGAGCTTAGCAATGTGGCCAGAGCTACAGCAAATATGTGGCAAGTCTGCAAAATCAGGGATTCACTGATGAAAGTTTGTTGTATATTCAATTGAAAACATTGCAGTTTATTACTTCACCTGGACATCTCCCTACTTGTTCACTCAATAGTCTGCACATTCAGTGTGTCATAACTTGGAGTCAGAAATGTGGAACTTTTGCTGGAGACTTGTGAGGACAACAGCCTTACAGGTCCATATTAACTCCTGTGGAAAATAACCATTATGTCTTAAATTTCTTAAGTCTAAAAAATCTCTTTTCTGGGTGTCTTTGATGAAGATTCAACAGAAGAATTTGTTAAACGTTATTTACACAAAGCAGCAACCTTGATATTCTTGGCCAGGATATGCAAAATATATAAAAACTATGCAAAGGTTTTAGTTTCTTGAAGGAGGGAAAAAAGAAACACACAAGAGGAAAAAAAAGAAACACAAAAAAATCCCACTACTTTTAAAGGCATATCTGTAAAGTGGAGATAGTATTCTCAAATGTGGGCGTTTAATGATGTTGAACTTTGCTGTATCATATAAAGGTACTTTTCTTGTTAATCACTACGTATGTATTACTTGCCTGGAGTTATTTGGAGCTATTAATTGGTACAACGTTCCACCTTGGCTTGCACTATCTAACATAGGTAATGTGGTAATGTGATAATGACTCTCAGATTAACAGTGTTTCTAAACTAGAGCCCAATTTTAATTCACAGTAATGTTTGAAGTCTATCAGTCTGATGAGGCAATAACTTGCTAAGCACAGCAATCCAGTTAGTACAAAAAAAGAGAAATGCTGACGTCTAGAATCAGGGAGGATGAAGCGCTGCATTTTTGTAGAGGTTTTAGTGCTGTGGAGACAAAGGAGGAGCAGGAAGATGGGATGATGCAATTCCTTTAGCACCAAGCTCTTAACTGCTTTGGCTGAACAAATGCAAACACTAATTTATTTAAAGCCTGTTATGAAGACTTACCTTACGGAAAGATGCAGGACATCAGCCATAAAGTACCATTTTGCACTATCAAGTTTTGTTTCTGTGGATTAGGCTCGAAGTTGAAAGAAGTAAAAGACTGCAATTTAAGGGAATTATTCTAAAGTCTGCAGTTTGTCAGCATGGAATCCAAACTCCTGGTGCCTATTGGTTTTTGATTGCCCAGCCTCTCTGGGTCTGACACTGGAAGAAATGAGCATTCAATAGCCCAGTCAAGCTGAGCCTTAGCTTTACATCTGTTCGCCCTTCTGCTTGATGCTGGATCTTATTATTAAGATCAACAAGTTGAAATATCAGCTCAGGTGACCGCTGCATGCAGTAGAGCATTTATCTGCAGTGGCTGTAGGGAGGGGAAAGCACTTTCTGGTGTAATGTAGCCTCACAGCCCAATTCATAGAGCACCGTCTGTCAGTGACAGGCCACAAGCATTATGCTGTCTTTGCAAGGCCTGAGTCTTGTCAGGATTGCTTTATCTGAACTTGTCTCAACCTGCCTGGAGCTGTGCGTTGGCTTGTTCATCTGTGAAAGCAATTTTTGGAATGAGTAGAAATTTCAGGCATAACATGGACTTACAGGCCAGCGAAGAGAACACTGTTCAGTTTGTTAGCAAATATAAAATGCTCCTATAAAAGCAAACAAAGAGTGAGGGAAAAGACACCATCAACATCACAGACACCCTAGTAAAGATGGGCTGTCAGAGTGCTGACAGCTGGCAATATTTCCTTTCTACTCCCATTGCCAGAAACCCTTAGACCCTGAGGATCAGTGCAAATGCAAGGAAAACATCTACGAAAAAGGGGCAGATATTAGGAAGTATGTGTATGTATGACTTTTACCTTATTGATACATTCTTTTCTCTCCTTTCATCTCTCCTCTCCTTTATTCTTGCTTCTCCTTTTCCCCCATAACAACTAGATCTAGACTAATAACAATTAATACATCAGACTGTTAAAATTCCCATTACACCAACAACAATTTCATGATTTTGCATATAAGGAATGCCTTCTTTTTGCTTATCACGTGTTTTGGAGTATAACATGAATCCAATTAGCAGTGTGCAGAAGTTCTAAGCTGACAATGATGTTACCAGATAGAACCCCAGCAATGTGTCCAGGTACCTCTGCCATGACAAATGTTCAGCAGCAACTTTGTGAATTTACTGTCCAGAGCACCCATTACAGATCCTGTGGATCTTGCACATCTAATGAAACAGTTCTTTTGACATCCTTACTGTCTTGTTTTCAGACAAGGCCTCACAGATACTTTAAAAAAAAACATAGGAAAGACAAACATATATCTCACCAAGCCTAGAACATAGGAAAGGGTCCAAAGAAGCCATCTGGAGAGACCACGTTAGGGAGAATCCAACAGTTCTTTGAATTCATTACTAAATGATATGGCAAATTGACTCTTTTGGTTCTCTGGTATCTAAATCTAGCATTTCAAATGGAAAGGGTGACTCTGCAGTAGGATAGGGCTTGCAAGGCCAAGTCAAAATATTCCCAGAGTGATGCAATGCAAAATGAAATAATTAGAATCAGGTGGTATAGTTAAGAACCTGCCTACATTGCAATTAGTTAATGTGTTTGAAATATTTGCTTTGAGGGAAGAGGGATACCGTCAGTACTGCAAGATACTGCACAGTGAATTCATTTAAATTACCTCAGTGACACAGAATGCACCCTCTTTAAGCTTGACCTGGTTCAGTTTAGGTTAATTACATAATAATCATTAAATATATATATATATATATATATATATATATGTGAAATTCACTATGACACCACTGTGGAGTCATCCTTAGTAGTGGGAGGGATCTGTCTTCTTAAAAGGCAGTGTGAAATATGTCTCTTCAGAAATACAAATTCTGTGCTTGCAACCTTTCACAAAGTGTTCAAGAAAGGACGAAGGTGGGCAGGCAAAAGTGTTAACCATTATTCTGTTTAGTGTGCTCCAAATCTGGCATCAGCCTTGTGTGCACATACAGAGCCATATTTAAATCTGTCTGACATAACTCTGCCAACATCAATGTAGTCACTTCACATTTATTGGCAAGCAGGTTACCATTACAGTTCATGCAGTGCACCAGCACAGGAAACATCTGAGCCTGTATAGAGAATGTGATGGAAAATTACTGGCAAGTGGTAAAAAAGAAACTGAAAACATTCAGCCCATTTGCTGCATAAAAAGAAACAGTAAGTGAAGAGTTTTTATATCCTTCAGTGGTCAGTTTGGTGTACTGAATTAATTCCATATCTTTCTAAGATGACTTCTTTATAAATGTTTTGTACAGGAGAAGAAAATAAATACAACGGTAAAATGTTGTTTGAAAACTACATGCCACTTAGAAACTTTGTAATGCAAATGCTAAAAAATGTCTGGTCAAACAAAGCATGATTTAATGCAGATTTTATAAACACAATGTAACAAGAGGTATGCAACACACTATTGCGGTCCACAATGCACTCTGCTTGTTTAGCAAAGTGCTGAATGGCTGCATCCCTTTGTGTTTGTTGATGAATTAGTTCCTGGTGAGCGTGCAGGCAAACAATAAAAAGGCATTGATAAATTGGAGGATATATTAACCATGCATACAAAATTGCTGTGTAGTTGCATAGAAAGGTAACACAAAAGTAAACATGGAAGTGAAACAATTTCAAATGTCATTCTGTTTATATAAAATGTCACATTCCCTAAACTTGAATAAAAAAAGAAGCCCTCATGAAAAACAAATGTCAACACTGTTCTGATGACAGTGAAACCAGTAAACATGCTCATAAGATCAAGCTGGCAAAGATGTATGGTAACCTTTCCGAAATGTCCAGGCGGTCACTGTGATCAAGCAGCATGGTAGCAATACTTCAAAAGTCGTTATGGATGGAGTATGAAAATTTAATGCAAATAATAAAAATCTGATGCCATCAATGCAGTTTAAAGTCTTACATCAGTCTCTGTATTCCAGTGTGCTATAAGAAGCATTAATACTGAAATGAACATAATGAGGAGCTGATGGGGGGGAAAAAGAAATTCTGTCTTTTCAAAATAGTGTATAAACGAGTGCTGTTACTGAGTTAAGTGTAAACTTTTGACCAGTACTCTGTGAACAAGTAACACAGTTTTAACTTATTTTCTTTCTTTTTTGTTAAATGGTATGCTTTCCCTGCACAGAGAGGGGCTGGATATTTAGGAAAACAGAATTCCTAAAACATAACAAAGAATGAGGCAAATGAAAAATCACACTACTAGGAAGGAAATTACCCAAACCTAGCATATGGAATGCTGCTGCTGAGTCAAGTGTTCTGGCTAATTGTAATTAGAGATGTGCATTTCCAGTCTTGGTTGCTGAGTGATGGAAAATACTTGCTCTGTAGAGAGGGCTTTTCCATTTGAAATTTCTTTTTGAAAATGACTCAAGGAAATACATGGAATTCCTCTTCTCATCTACAGAATTTATTTTTTTGTTCAGATTGACTCATAGAAACTCTTGTTCCTTGTGCATTGCCATAATGAAATTGCAGAATTAAAGATCAGTTGGTTTAGTAGATTTACTTCAAATGCAGATTGGCTGTGTTCTGATCTCACCCAATCAAAACACATTTCCTGTTTGTTTTTTTCTTTTGCAGGCAAAACAGTTTCCTTCTCTACTTAGGATTCTGTTGTTACTGTTTATATAAAACATTAATGCAGACAGGATTGAAATTATTAAAATCAATCTACACTTAAATACTGAAAATCTCTCTAAACATTTTGAAACAACAATCACTGTTTTTCAACAGTTTAAGGCTGCCAGAATGCTTTGGGGCAGAGACAGATATGATCCTGAAAGCAGATTATGTCAGCCAAGTTCAAGGACAGGTCAAGAATATGTGTATGCATAGCATTCCAGGTCAGGTTTTTCCAAACATAACTGTATTTTTCCACTCAGAAGTATTCTATTGGGTAGAAGCTGCTGCGTTCTGCCTTTCTGAAAGTACTGCCCAAGAAGCATGCATGAAACAAGAAGTGAAATAGGACTACATAGTTATTCCATGCATTCAACAATTTTGTTTTGATCTGAAAACATAGTGGCCACAAAGAAATCAGCTGTGTGAGGATAAAAACAATGGCTGGTTAAAAATTAGTGCAGTTTAAGTAGTCTTCTGATAGAGAAGAAAAAATATTTTCTAATTTATTAAATGATTGTATTGTCCTTTCAAGAGCTTTTATGAAGACTCTATCAGTAAATGAGTTTACAAGGGAAGTGGAAGTGGAACAAAGAAAGATCAATACTGTCAGCATCTGCAGAGCAGCCTGCTTTTATATCTGCCCCTGAGCGAGTATCTCCCTTTCACTTGACTCGGCAAGGATGTATTTAAGAGCAGAACATGTACCTAATAAGTTTAAAATGAAGAGAAACAAATGTATGCAACATTATTCTGTATAGATTAGTTAAAAAATCCTTTTTTTCAATTAGCCGCACTACTTTTTTGACGGTCAATAAAACAGGGGCCATAAGCCATTTCAACACTCAGTTTCTGTGGACGCATTTTCTTGCCTAGCTTTCTGTTCTTCTGTTGCACTGCCAAATGCTACTACTAAGTTAGTTACACTAGTGGCATGTCCTGGTCTGTTTAATTTGTCCTTTATAGACTTGGCTTTCCGAGAATGGCTGTGCAAACTCTTTGATCGTACTGATGGGAACCCAGAAGTCCTTTCTGGCTTTACTGATAACAAGTTCTCTGTCTGAGTTTTGACAGCAGCAGGCATAGAGGCGTAAGAGGCACTAATACCTGCTTCACCAACATCACTGTCATCATCTGTGTCCATCTGTAATTGTTTCTGTTCTGCTTGCCTCTCTGCTTCAGAGATAATACCTGGGTATGCCGGAGGACGTTCTTGAGAAAGTTGCTGCTCAACTTCGTATTTCCACTCTGTAGCCCACTGCTCAATTGTTGAAGGGCACACCTGATCCATGATGGTACTATATTCTGTTGTCCAGTTGTTCACCCCTCCAACCAGCTTCCCACCCTGTGCAAATATAAAGCTCCTTGACTTCATCATAGTAGTTTGACAAGTACTGAATGTTTCAGGAGGAAAATAGCGCATTGCTTTAGATTTGTCCAACGGATAAGAGATGGTTGCCTCTAACTTGGTACGTTCTACTTTTAGCTGAGTGTTCTGAAAATCTGATCTTGGTACCAATTGTCTGTTCATAACAACATCCATCTGGTTTAAACTTTGAGAAGCCATTTCATCCTTCTTGAAAATTCCTTGGTTTTCATCCCCTAAACCACCTGAGCCAGAATGGGGACTGGAAATATTCTGTGCAATGCCTAATGCAGATCTACTGCAATCTGCTGGGGTCACTGCATTAGCACTAGAGGTATAATGGAGACTTGTATGGTGCTCTGGAACCAGCATCCTTGGGTCTGCTCCATCTTCTTTTGTACTAACAGAATGAGCTTTTTTACGTGATCCTATGGCTGGTGACATTGGAGCTGTGCTGTCATCATATGCTAACTCATCACCACCAACATGATATCTGTACATGCTGTAGCCATCCGAGCTGTTGACACTGCTTTGCCTTAGGAGATACGCAGCATCACATTCAGATGAAGCCCGTGAACGTGTATACGTTAGCTCAGATTTGTCAACACCTGCCAGCTTCTCAAGAGCATTCACCATCCGACCAGATAGTTCTTCTAACTGAGAGAGTCGAAGGTCAACTGTTTGAAGAGAAGCTTTCATGAAATGTTCTCTTTCATTCACTTCTTCTAGCCTCATTGACATATTTTCAACTCTGTTGGATATAAAAGAGGAAGCATAAAACACACAGTGGGGTGGTGCAGTAACCCATTATAGACACCAGCTAACAATTTCTTCTTATGGCAGAAATCTGTGCTATGTATAACTCATTACTTGTTCCTGTTTGTAGCATAGTGCTTGTGCATTTACTTTTTACCTGTGCTTTCCTCACACTATATTGGAGGGCTATTGGAGGGCACTTTGCCTTTATTTACATGCCAGGACAGTACAAGAGTTGCAGCCCTTTGTTAGAGCCTACTATTAAATTCCTCTCTGAGTGTGCCACCTGCTTCACATTCAGTTATCCTCTTTCACTGTGAAGCACCAATTAATAATATGGAAAATACTTCTAAAGGCATGTTCACAGGATGACTTAAAATAGCATCAAGGCATGTTGTAAAACAGGTTTTGTGGCTGTACGAAGAGAACACACGCTACTGTTTACAGAATTACTTTATGCCTTGAAATACCTTCCAATTAAGGATCAGAGCAAAGGGGAGAAGAATTTATTTTCTTTTCCTTTATTTATTTTATCATTTAGTTCGTAATGGACTTGATGGTACTAGAAGAATGCATTTAAAGCCAGGCATTAGGATGTGACTTAGAGAACATACAGTACTAAATCAACTGTGGAAATTAAATTAACATTCTTTCGCTCTCGCACACAAAAGATGATGAAGCATTTGGAGCAAGAAGCCATGAGAATTATGCAAATCTGGTTTGTGGCTACAAGATCATAGTGAATCAGTGAGGCTTACCAACCTTGCTTTATTCTCTCATACAATACCTAGGATTTTGACAAATTACCATAGATAGCGTAATAGAAATGAGTTGATGACACATAGCAGATTTCATTTACTTCTCTGTTCTCAAACTCCACATATAATATTGCAAGATGTTTACTGCTTCCCTTCAACAGAAAGATATTTATCTGTTAGGGAATTGAATGGCTTATGGAACAACCTCATTAGAAATGTTAAAAGGAAGTGAGATACATACATAGAGAGTGGTTCATAATTAAAGAAGAATACTGCAAGGAAGATTAAGGCAAAAATGTTTAAACTATCTACCATTTCCATTATAGGTATAGGAGAATTATAAGGAGAATTATTCATCATTTCAAGGAGGTGATAAGAGACCTCATCCCCTGAGTTACTCAGAGCTACTACCAGAATAGGCAGAGCCTTTGGGAACAGTTCTGCCAAATGATATGACACAAAAGTGCTGCTGCCATTGTAACTGTTTGATTTCACATCAATATGCAAACATTACCTAGTCCTCAGAATAGGATTATCCTTCATTATTTGCACTTGACTATTCCCTGTCTTTTAGATGAGGAAGTCCATATAGAAAAGCTCAATGCCTTGTTCAAATCTTCTAAGAGACTATCTGGCAGAGGATCAAATTTGGCTGTTCTGAATGCTGGACTGTAGTCTGAATCATAGGTATCAGTGAAGAACTCCCAGTACTTTTGTTATTAAGCTCCACCATGTTTATTACAATTGAATGAGCTGCTGGAATCTGAACATGTACTGTTTTGCTCAAGCAGATAAGCAGCATAACTGTGATCTTAGCTGGGTGAGAGGGAAAAAATAACTGAACAAAAATGTTCTTACACCGAAGATACCCAAACCAGCAGCCTTAGTGGTATGCCATCAGGAGCAACAAAAAGCTTGATTCTGTGAGAGATGCATCTGCACTGACATTTACCTGGGATTAAGATTCTGAAATAGTGGTGTTTTTCTTAAAGGTCTGAAGCCATTTGCACTTTAGGTGAACTTTGCTTATAATGAGGGACAAAAAAGCAATATATTGTTCCAGACATGGTCGGGTTTTTTGTTTGTTTGTTTTAAATAGGTACCTTTCAGAGGTAACTCTGATGCGTTCATCATTAGATGATTGCTGCTCATCCTCTTTTTCCTGAAAGTATTCTTCTACACACTGCTCTTCAAACTCGTACAGCTTTTTTAGCTCTTCATCATTTAGAAATAACTCTGTGAAACAGAAGAAAAAAATACTAATTTTCTTTTCCTGAAAATCTGTCAGTCAATTTAAACCCAATGTAGTGGGCTATTTCAGACAGATGGATACTGCAAATTCCACTCCTGCACTAACTGAATAGATGATTTTGTAGATATGAAATGAGTACTTAGCCAAAATGGCCATGGCTCTGAAAGCAGTGTGATGCATTGTGACTATAATCTTCTTCTATGACTATCCACAGTATGCTATATTTTCTCACAGACCTTTGAACTGTTTAATAGTAGTGCTACATTTTGAACAAACTGAACAGATTTTACTGGGTAAGACAATGTTTGCCAGCTTGATTGTTCCTTAATTCAAATATTGCTCATAAAGCATGCCAGTTACAGGCAAAAGATAATCCGATGTAACAGTTTCCCAGACATTCTTTGGATAAGACATTCAAAAAGTTAAAATTGAGTTAAGAAAATCCAAGGGAAATATAAGCTTTTAGGAACATTTTATCCTTGTCTTGGATTAGTCTCTTTTTCTTTGTAGGAACTGTTATATTTACATTTCTTTCCTCAGTTTTTTTTTCCCTTTTTTAAAACCAAAAGCATATTGTGCAAACATATAATTAATTACAAGGTGTATTTCCTGTGAAATGCAGAAATATAGGAGTCATTGTGAGCGTCTGATTATCTCAGTGAGGTACATAATGAAAAAGCAATAATTGCAGAGAATGTTAGCAGTAGAATGCTCACATCCTCACAGTTCTGTGAAATGACAGATAAGTCTGTAATATGGAGAAATGAAGGTGGTGCTACACAGATTGCTCACAATCACAGGGTTGAATGTACAGATGACATTTGAAACTGTGGCCTCTTCTCTTCAGGTTCCTATTTGCCTCCTACGGTGTATGAACTTTACAAGCACTTATTGAAAATGGATTAAGTGGATGCCATGTCATTATTGAAAAGAAAGTGTTAATTAGCAGCACAGCATCACATATACCTAAGGAAGAGGTCAATAGCTGTTAACCTGATATAAAATTTGTCCCATGCTTCCTCTGCAAATACATCAGACCATAAACGTGAAGGAAATTAATGCTTGTCATTGGAATAGCTACTCCTTTCTGCTATCATGTGCAAAAAGCTCTATTCAGAGAAGATTCACTGCATACTCAGCCCCCTGTCACGCTCATCCTGGTCTCCTTCACGCTTCTTGCAGCGACAGCAGACTCGCTTGATGATTATGTAGAGGTGGCTGAAGATAATCATTGGTGGTGGGAGGACAGGTCTGTCATGGAATGTCATGATCAGCTGGTACCGCTGGAACTTCCAGACTTGGTTGGATATTGATTTTACTTCAAAGAAGGTATTGCTGAAGGAGAACAGGTGTAATTTCCATTAGGCCTCCAAGTTTACTTAACATTTAACAAGAAGTACATTGAAAAAAGAAGAAACTAAATAGCAAAATAAGGCCACACAACTTGCTTGGTTCAGCTCTTCGTTGAGGCAGCTGAACTTGCTGAAGATTAAGCTAAACTCATTATTTTACTGCTCCTTTTGAAGGCAGCATAGCAGGTGCTCTGCATCCCTTATGCACCACCCAAAAGAGTCCTCTTCGTTTTCTTCTACCATATAAAGCATTTTAGCTGTCAGTTAAGACAAACGTGCACAATTTATGAGTCAGCTAACTAGCATTTTGGAGCTTGGTTATAAAGTACTTCTATTAATATATACTCATATTTGATATCATACAAAGTATTAAATCCATGAAAGATATTTTCCACTCTAAACCCAGAAGAGTCACATCTTTTTCTTTTAACATGTTAATCAGCTTGACCTATACAAAACACTTCTCAAGTTTTTAAACAAAATGCCCTAAATTTAAACTTTGTTCATTTAGACTTCTAATTTGAAAATATTGCACATTCTTTTAAAAGGAGTTGTTTGTGGGAGTTACAGTTTCATCATTTCTACATCAGAATGAGTTTTACTATAAAGACAACCTATTAGCAATTCAGTGAAGGAATAGAGAATTGCATTCAATCCAGAGACAGCAATATTCAACGTTACAAAATGCAAACTAAGAAAATTTGGAAGTTCTGTCGTAGATGATGTTTTTCAAGCTATTTTAAAATATGCTAGGACAGTTCTCTTCTATGATGATTCTGACACTTCCTCTTCTTATCTTTTCTATTTCTTTTCTAACTTTCTGTGCTTTGGAATATTCACAAAACCAGACATGACATTTCTTCAAAAATGGAGAATTCTTGATTGCACAAAGCACTCCATTTCTTTTGGCTAAGAATATGAGATTACTTACACTGATAAATGACAATCTGACTTCATTCTGTGTCTCCTGCACAGCAAGAATTCCCCAGCTACAACTCGCCCCCCTGCAACTGTGCTAGGATAGCAGGAGTTAACAGTATGACCTACTTCTCAAACTGCTGATTCCTTCCTCTCTTCAGCCAATAATAGTTACCATTGTAAGATGCTTCCCCTTCCCCCTAGCAATGTGACTGGCATTTGGGTACTTTAAAATTCATGACCTTTTAAGCTAAATACATCAAATGAAAGACAGGCTTTGTGAGCTGTAGCTTTCTGGGCACAAAATGAACTATTTTTGTGGTTGTGATGCCCATTACCTATGCCAGCAAGCCCTGCAACGCTGCATATTTATGGGAATCAAAATGGAATCACCTGCTTTTCTCAATAGGTGTTTTGGGAAAATTTTACTAGCAAAGAGATGTATTAATTGTTCCTATTTGTATTTTCCAGTTCTTAGGTCATTATAGGAAATGCATGTGGCATAACTGTTGCGTATAACTGTTGGCAGAAAGTACAAGCAGTAGAAATGCATTTAGGTTTACTCCAGAAAATTCTAAGCATGGATTTATGGAATTATGTTATGAATTTGCACAGTTGCACGTTGGTTGCACTGCCATAAACGCAGCCACAGATTTTGGTAAAATGTACCTATCTTTTCTCTTGGTTCCAGGTAATATACACTCCTTTCCTGGGAGATATAGGAACTCTGCAAGGCTTTCATTTCTTTTTCTCTAAATTAGAAGCAAAGTAAGAAGAAAAAAAAGGAAAAGAAGCAGATGATGCATGGATGCAGCGGAAACGTCTCTTATTTTTTATGTTCAGATTTTCATTCTGCAGATCTACGGTAGAATCATGTTTGCCAGTGGTTGCAAGAGTTCTATCACATATGTAGGTTTAGTGGATTCAGTTTCATCTTTACAAAACAATCTTGAAGCCTGTCAGTAACCATTAGACCCTAATTGTAAGTACTCATTCTCTCATACACATCACTGCAAATCTGTACCAAATTTTCTTCTGCTCTTTCAGAGTGTATAAACCATTCCAAATATTTACTAGTCATGTTCATAGAGAAATTTTGAGTGTGAATGCAAAGCATTGCAAAATTAGTTGACGGACTCTCATCGAAACTTTATCTTGACAATAAGAAATTAGTGCATGATTTACATACTTGAAGACTGCAATCAGCAGGTTTACCAGCAGAATATTTGCTACCAAGAGGTAACAAGCCATAATAGCGGGAGTGAGCCAGGCCCCTGGTATGCACGGAGGGAGACGTTTACCATCCTCATCGTAAAGATTGTCTCCACAAGGAGCTGAAGAAAAGAGAGGAAAGGTATTTACATTTCCTGACACTTGAGAACAGACTCACTTACTGATGACGCACATGTAAAGTCTACCAAACCAAATAAATTTTGTCAGTTTATTTCCACTGGAGAGTATGTATAATTTCTAGTCCAAATTCTGCTTCTAACAGCACCATGCAAAAATTATTTCACATAATAGTGAATGGTTACATGGCTTGAGATTTAGTGCACAATGTATCTTCCTCTTCAAATTGACAAGGCTTTTTTTTTTTCCACAGTGACATTATAGGACAAGATCTTGATGTGCACATGTATAATTTCATACCAGCATTTTAAAAACATCTCCGACTAAACTTGCATGCGTATCTTTTCAAATGCATAAATGGATTTATTTTGTGGTTCAAGATTGCTGAATGTGTATCAGGCCTTCATCAGAGCTCTGAGTGTTTAAGTAGGCCCTAACTACTAAACAGCTTCTCCTGAGGTCTACACCTACACGCCCTACACATATCTGTCCTTGCCCAAGCTGCATCAGGTGTGCAGGTATCAGATTTTTCTCATGGATGGACTTTGGACCTATACTTGTCTCCTGGATAAAACCTTTTGTTTCAGCCCTGTCTTCTCTCACTGCAACCTGAACTCCCTACCTAGGCCTTGGATTATTACTTGCCTCGTCTTGTTAGCAATTAGCAGCAGCCATCTCTGAGAGACCGGGTCGCCCTGGGGAGGGCATTGCTCACCCTGGGTCCCTGCTCTCTCTTACCTTAGGGCCAGCCCTGCTCCTGTTGCTTCCTGGCAGATCAGAGCTGCAAATCTGCCCTGAATACCGAGTACTACTACACAGACAGAAATTGTTTATGATTAAAAAAAAAAAGTCAGTAAACCTTTATTTTTCCACTTGAAAAAAGTCGTGAAGTTGTATGCAGTTATTAACTTGTTCTTGAGTAGAAAACCTCAGTTTCTCGTCTTTTTATGCCCACTTTCTTTATTATTCACAATCATAATTTTATCTTAAGGAGAGTATAAAAGGGAAGTCAAATGAATCATAATATTACTCATGTGGACCAATGAAAGTAATGCTAAAAAAGCCAACAATACAATACCTGGATAATCGGAGGGAATTATTTATAACATGACAATCATGCATGATAATGTTTAAAAATGATTACCTTGCTGGCAATCCACTAGAAACAAATCATAGCAATCACATAAGCTTGACTAAAACTTTTGATGTGCAACATACATTACAACAGTTTTCCCCTTCTTTTCAGATAAAACTATTTTGGTAGCAAAACAACTCACACATGAATATCAGATGAACCCTATAATTAAAATGTCTAGTGAAGATCTAGCATCTAGTGAAAAGATTAATGAACACATTCAGCTAAATGAGATAATCAGCTCCCCAGATAGACTTACGATTGATTTCCATGGCATAGACTGAATTGCAGCATTCCAATGGAAAAAATGAAAAAGGAAGCAAGGAGAGAAAGAAAACAATAGAATAATATAGGGGAAAAAAAAAAAAAAAGAAAAAAAAAACAACAAAGAAGATGATTGAAAATATAGTTTTGCTGCCAAAAAAGTACAGAAAACTCAAATGTCATAACAGTAGAGACATATGTTTAGAAAAAATGTCTTTGTTAAAACTGCATGGTATATTGTAATTTCCTTTTCATTTTGTGTTCCCCAAATGTTACACATGGCAGCAAATTCATGACATTAAAATAAACCACAAAATGCTGATGGCAGATGATCATTTAAACACACAAAATATTTCAGGCAACTAAACAAAATTGATAGTCACCACAAACACAAAACAACTCAAAGTTACCACATGAAATCATTGTTTCAGCTATTAAGGAAACATTTCTCACTTTTATTATTATTATTATTGTTTTAAGGACCATCTTAGCTTTGAGTTCATTAGCTGTTTCTGCTGAATAGCTAAGTTTCCATTAACAGTCATGAAACTGATGTCATTACAGTACAGTATCACTAAAGCTCATTTAGATGGCAGTATAGATACTTGCTCCCCAGCCCCTAAACAGTGACTGTAAAAAGAATCACAGCATTCGAAGACACTCAACTCAGAATATGTTGCTATTGAATAACACTAACTTGTTGATCATGGACATCTTCTGAATGGAGTGAATCAGACTGAAGGCAGCATTAGGAAAAGCATTACCAGCAAGCGGAGGGAGGTAGTTAGTCCCCTCTATCTACCTTGGTGAAACCACATCCATACTAGCATATGGACATTACAAAGAATGTAGAGAATATCCTGTGTATACTGTTCAGAATATACGCAGCTCATTGAAACAGTGCTGGAATAGCAGCTTGTACTGTTTCAGATAAAGTGCATTATGCACACTAAAGAAGGCCACCTGCATGTCTGAGTGTACAAATTTCAAACACTAGCACAGAACTATCAGTAACATGACAGTGGCAGTGTCCATCTCCTCAAAAACAGACCTTTTTTTTTCTTTTTAAACTGTGCAGCTTTTGTACATAAAATGCTATTTCCACAGCTGAAGCTAATCAAGCTGATTATTTATTTATTTATTTATTTATTCTCTTCAACAGAGAAACATGATTGATTTGTGAAACTGAAACATTTCTGGAAAAATTGGTACATGTACCCATGCTAATATAATTGTGGACTCTCATTGCTTGTGCTACCAGCTGGAGATGAAAAACCATGTTACCTATTTATCATATCTGTTTTTGGCTCCTGTGCAAGGTATTCATTTTTTTTTCATTTTAGGTGGGAAGTTTCTTAGTAAAATATTAGTTCAAGAGAAAGTTTAAGAATGATCTCTGCTTATTTCTGCAAGTAAACAGAACGTTTAATACTGTTGCCCACCAGATAGGCAAATATTCCAGACTATATCACATTCAGTGTGGACTGAACTGGAATTTTTGGTTAGAGGCAGGACATGCATGTGGGAAATAAAAAATTCATTAGTCTCTGGAGTCTGTCACAAGAAAACCCTCAAATGGACAAATACACTCTAATTCCAAATTAAAAGCAAGCATTAATTTGGGTCTGATCATCTGCCTCATAAACAGGAAACAGAATCTTACTATGAATTCTACTCTTACGGTCTATCTGGTCTGCGAACACCTCTCCATAGATCATCCAGTAGGGCATATAGAAGATGTTCCGAGCTAGTCTCCAAGAAGGCTCCTCATCTGGGTGCAGGATTGCTTGGCGTGCTACTCCAAAACTCATCAGAACCACAAGCATGATGACCACAAAGTAGAGCATGTCAATCATCTGCACAAAGAGACCATACAGATGTTCCTATCATCACCAGTTAGTACAGTGACATCAACCTATCTGTTTGCCAAAGTGCTGTAAGGTGAGCAAGAAAAGTATCACACATTTTCCTGGATAATTTTCCTGATGTTGATCTTCAAATTTAACTACTGCTCATGAGATAAAAATACGTAAAAAGGCAAAAAGAAGTCATTTAAAGAAATAAAGGTTCTGTATTTTTATAAAAGACTTAACATGGTAAAAAAAATTTGTTATCCCTATTCTCTTTTCTATCAAGTGCACTTTGCTCTGCTTTCAGCACAGAGTTTTTCTGTGGTGATAAGGAGGTGGCAGTCTTTGCTGTATAATTTACTAACCATCTTTCCAATCATCATGACGTAAGGTCCCAGATATTTGTTCACACCGAAGATATCTAGTACTCTAATGTACCAGAAAATTATATCTACACAGTAAATTACTCTTCCATAACCCATGTAAGGCTGGTTCTGTAGGCGAAGAACTGCTCCTATCATAAATACTGAAATAGCCACCAGATCAGTAATATTCCAGTATTCCTGGAGCCAAACTTTCACTTTTTGACTCAGCTTTCCAGGCTCTGACATGAGAATCTGAAATAAAAATTAAGAAAGACGTAATTAAGAAAAATGTGAAATAACATTTCTGAAGTCATAAAAAAAAAAATAATAAAATAAAATCAATCTTGTCACATTCTTCTCTCTCATTAGAGACCACCCCTATTTGCAGCAAAATTTGCCTTATTCTGGAGAGAATCCTCCAGAGGGCTACAAAGACAACTAGAGGTGTGGAGGATCTCCCTTATGAGGAAAGGCTGAGATATCTGGAACTGTTTATGCCAGAGAAGAGAAGACAGAGAAGATCTTATTAACACTTAAATATCTAAAGGGCAGGAGACAAGAGCATTGGGCCAGACCATTTTCAGTGGTGCCCAGAAAGAGAAGGGGCAATGGGCACAAACTGGAACACAAGAAGTTCCATTTGAACATGAGAAAAAGTCTTTAATTTGAGGGTTACAGAGCACTGGAAAAAGCTGCCCAGAGAGGTGGTGAAGTCTCCTCTGGAGATATTCAAAACTCACATGGACTATTTCCTGTGAAACCTACTGTAGGGATCCTTCTTTAGCAAGGGTGTTGGACTGGATAATTCTTTTCAAGGACTAAGATGTAAGTATGACTATACTTTACCTCTCTTACTTTCTCTAAAGCCAATGTCACAATGTAGGAGATGACAATCCATTCCTGGACAGATGGCCACCGTTCCATCCGCACCAAGATGATATAGTTAAATAGCATCAAGTAACCCAGGTATGATATCTATAAAAAAGAAATCCTTTATAGACTTTTGCGACATCCACATGAACGCATAGGCTATGCATGACAGTTTCAGGTGCTGAAGGCCTACTTGTGAAAGGAAAAAGTTTTTCTTCTCTGAAGAAAGCGTGCTTACGGTAATGCTCTTGCTACTACAGCTGGCATGCAAACTGGTAGAGGCCATTGGCCTCCAGCAGCGTGGTGTGATTCAGGCAGCTGCCTATTTGTTGAAATAAGCAGTACAATGCCAAAACATTCTAAATCAGGCCCCTTTCCCCTGGGGCATTTTTGATATACTCCAATGTAATTTCTTTACTCCATGAAATTGTGTTTAATACTTTCATTTGAAATTCAGTAGGAATTTATATTTTGAATTATTATCACTGACTTCAGAAAAATAGATGATTATTCAGTGTGCTAAAACAAAAGAACCCATACATAATACAATGACATACAAGATACCACAAGTGCTAACTTAGCATAAAATGAAAACAGTATCCTTCATGTAGGGCACACACAAAATTCAGCAGTAGCAAGAATATTTAGTTTTTATTAAAAAGGAAATATTTCTTGATGTGCTAAAAAGAAAATGAGATGATTGCAGTTCAGATTGGCTTTAATTACTTGAACAGGAGAAAAGAATTTATTAAGCCTTAGGGATCTAAGGCTAAGTGCTTCCATCAAGATTGTATTTGACAGAATGAATGGCAAGCACTGATACTACAGCATTGTTTGTTGGGTCCTACAGTATATTTAAAAGCAGAACAGGATCCAAAGCCTTTAGAAAGCAAGAGGATCTAAACTAGCTTGGAGTAAGTGACTGAACCGTGCAGCCTCCTTTAAAGTGTGTTAGAGCTTTAGGAGCTGACAGCATAAGCTACAGTTATTTGTTCTATTTCACTCTATTTTTCTCTAAATAAAGAGAGTGCTTTACTCATCAGATTCCATGAAAATCACTGTTATTTATGTTTTATGTGGTTATTATTTTTACATCACTATTAAAACTTTAACTTTCATAGGCATGAGAAAAGTGATCGCTATCAGTTTAATCACCAGACTTACTGTGTAGAACCAAAATTTGACAATAGGAGCATTATAGAATTCATAGATCTTTGTTCCAATTGGAAGGCTGTTTTGCTTTTTATTTGCATTCTCTTCATCCCCTTTCCGGGAACCTGTGTCCACGTTTGCATCCTAGAAGACCACAGTTGTCAGTTTACACCAATACACACATCAAAAACAGTAGCTTTTCTCATTTATAATATCAACCACTAATTACCAAATGCTTCCTCTGAGCAACAGACCTCCTGTTGACTTTTTAAAAATACAAAAACTGTGAACTATAGTAAATCTGCAAATATGCAGATAATTTGCATGCCCTGGGAATCCAACCTATATACTCTTTGCAGAACCAGTTGACATTTTATCCAAAATGACCCACAGCACAGAGAAACTTAGGAAACTCAGCACTCTTACAACCGGGAGTTACAACCTCCTGATAAACTCCAGTACTGACCACATTTTCCTCCTCCTTTTCTTTGCCTTCTTCATTTTCTCGTGATGTCTGGTAAGAATAATCATCGTAACTGCGAAACTCTAGGAAAAGGATGGTTGGAGGGAAGAGAATCCCCATTATAACCTGTTCAATAAGAAAGAATTCAACTCAGACTGCAATATTTATTTAAAAACTAATAGATTTCATAAAAAGGCAAATCTGATAACCAATTTTTTCTTTTGCATAGCATTCAAGATACTCTCCTATCTCCAAACCTACAAAAACAACGTAGGTAGTAGTAGTAGTTTAGAAGCATAATCAATAACCTGTCAATTGAAAGACTCCATTTTCATGAATCCACTGCACATAAGAAATTGTGCTCCAGAATTAGAGTTGACCAGAGAAATGAAACAGTAGCAGTTGACAAAACGTTTCAGGTTTCTTACTGGACTTCACAGTTACTTTAGTCAACTGCTGTAATCATAATTTTTAAAGTTAAAAAAACTTGTGAAAGTATAAGGAGCTGTGCAGATAGCACCCAGAGAGTTCTACTATATGAGAACAGAGATATAAAAACACAGGCATAAGTACAGAAAAAGAGTTAAAGAAGAGAGGAATGCAGGTAACAAAACTAGAACATCAGCAGATGATAGCACTGTCATGGTAGGTCTTTACAAGAATGACAGCAGCTACCTTATAGAACAAAGAAGAGTATATTCACATACAAAGTCTCACACGCAACAAACACTGCTCTGCTTCCATAACAGTGGCTCACTCATATTTGTATTTTGTGACAGCCTTCTCATATTACTCTTTTCTAAATTTTTTCTGCAGATCCACTGATCAGGAAATACAAAAATCAGTACAAGGTGCAAAGTAATTGAATCACAGAAGAGAATAAAAATCACACGATTTCACACATCGTGATTTCACACATTTCATTCTTATCAAAACTGAATCTTAATTTTGGTCTTCTGGAGCAATATTAAGCAACACTCAGAAGAATCTGTCCAAGTATAGATTCTTTTCTCTCTAACCCCACTGTGTGTACCCATAGAGACGATACTTTTGCTTCTACTAATTAACTTTTAATTAGTTTCATGTTTTTAATGAACAGATTTTATCATTCATTGAAAGCTACAACTTTGCTTTCAGATCCAATCATATTAAGCTTTTCATAGATCTTTTTCATACGTCATTTTCCTTTGTCCTGGTATGTTGTTCCTTAGACTTCCTGAGCTTGAGAAAAAAAAAAAAAAAAAAGGAGATTCAAAACAGAAAACGTTCTTAAAGCATCTTTAATTAATAAGCCATTTTTTCTATGCATACACTATATATAATATAGCGTTAAGTGCAACAAAGTGTGTCTTTGAAAGCAAATGCAGAACAGAAATACCTTAAGGCCTGGGTTTTTTCGCATACGTAGTCGCCCCATCCACATATCTGTTAAGAGCATCTGGCTGCACGTGTGAGCAATGAAGTCCCTGTGTTTAGCTGCCACAGCCAGCTTCAGGCAGGTAGAGTTACTCCAGTTTTTTAGTTCGTAGGTCAGTAGTTTCATGGCAATCTGCTCATCGTGTTTGTAGGACTGATCCAAGAGTTCAACAGCTAGCTGGCCAAAATCTCTGTAACATGCAAGATAAGTCTGGTGAAGTTTGATTTGGAAATCTGTGTTTGCTTACAGTTGGGATTTTCATTCTTTCATATGGGGTTATGTTTTTCTGTACACAAGGACAAGAGCAGTAGAATCTCAGGCTTGATTTGGGATAGTTCACAAAAGTTCCAAACAAATTTGGAACTAGAGAGAATTAGCTTAGACCAAATGATATCTTAAGACCAGTTTACCTAGATCATCAGATGGCCCTTAATTCATATGAGCACACCCTCAAAATAACATTGTGAAGTAAAACTAGCCAGTTTTATAGAGAGAAAAGGTGAAGAAAGAATATGCACTGCCAGAAAAACACAACACAAATCTTCTTGCTAGCATTACCTTTAGACTCTGAGCCAAAAGTTCGGTTTGTTTACTGTTGATAAACAGGCTCCAGACTGCATTCTTTGAACCTGCAGTCTGGAAATTAACTGTACTCTACTAAAAATCAAGCTTCTCAGCAGGTCAAGACAATTTCCTGTATCAGGCAGACATGTACTATGCTCTGTAACTACTAACTTTGAGTTGTTGTCCAGATCCTGAGAGATGTCATCCACCAGTTCACTTTCAGAAGACTCATGTGCCATAGATTTGTACAGCTTACAAGCAACAAGTGCTTTGGCCATAGTTTCCTCCCCTCGTTGCCAAAGGAAGAGTGCCATCTTTTGCCTTTTCATCAGCACGGCCCATAACATCAGTTCATGAAATGGATACTGAAAGCGGCTCACTTCTGGGTCGTCCACATCAATATCAATCTCTTCCTCCTTTTTCTTCTTCTTCTTCTTTCCTTTCGTAGGAGGCTCATCATCCTGGGAAGAAAACAAGATTCTTAATACCAATCTTTATCACCTGATTTGATGACACCATGGACTAAATGCATATCGAGAGGTTATGATATTAATAGTTATGCCTTTTCTGTTGCTTGCTATTATGCCAGTGGAAATAAAAATATGACGAACATGTGACCAAGCATACTTAACACAGGTTAATGTTTTATTCAGAGAACCATTTTTTACAGACTTAATTAGAAGTTACTTCTCCTAGATACGTACAGTAGAACTTTATTGTTCTGAAGCCTTCACTTCACACTGCATTGCAAGCGGATCTCTACTGCATGTGTAATTGCATCAGTGGAGTGATAAGGAATTAGTATTTAATGAATTCTTCTGCAGTGCAAATGGAGCTTTACCAAACCTGAATTCACTATAAAGGTTCTACTCTAAGTTTTTATTTGATATATCTGTATCCATTCTTGAAGAATAGTTCTGCATATCTTACAGGTATCAAAGCAGTATTCAGACTGACATGCAGGTAGAGAGAGTGGTTAACATGCAAAGGGAAAAAGGCAGGCAGACAGCATTCTTAAGAACAACAAGATACTTAAGGGAGTGTTCACCTTTGAATAAGCAATCTCCTCTTATGTATGCTGTGCAAACAGAAGGTAAAGTATCCTGTTTCTTAAAGGGATAGAGAGGATGGGCCATTACTACAGGAACCAACATGGGAGTAACTGAAGGGAAGTACTGACAATGAAGCAGGATCCTGAAGGGAGAAAAACCATGTTTGGGTAAATAAGGGTTTAAATTATGTAGGAAGAACATTGCATTTATAGGTGTAGAGAGAGAGCTTATCACCATTGTAGGCCTTGATTCTGATCTCAGAAGAGGACTGCAATTAAATCCCATCCTACAGAACTAGATGATCTTAAAGATCCCTTCCAACCCAAACCGTTCTTCAATTCTACATTTCTGTGGATCATTTTTTGATCATGTAAGTAATCTCAGCCTAATAGTCTCAGCACTGTTTTATTACAAAAACAAACCCAAACTTAGGCTTCAGCCTTACTCCTCTGGTTTCCGAACAAAACTCTTCAGCTCAACATTTAAATAAGCGTTTCTCTTTCAGCATTTCTAAGAACTGCAAATGTTGACCTCTATTTCTTACAAAAAATTTAGGGGGTCCTAAACTGCATGCAAGTGAATAAAGTGAAGAAGAACAGAACATAAAATCTCAAATGAAGGGCCAAAAATCAGGTCCTCCCCACACTAGGAATATCAAGTCAAAAGGAAACCCTGGGTGGGAAGGACAAAGTACTAATGAGTCTACACTTCCTGTTTTAAAGCTTTCAACTCTGGAACCGAAAAACAAAAAATTGGAGATGCATCAAATTACTGACCTCTTCAACAACAGAAAAATTGATTTTTCATTTCAACTTTTCTTCCTCTTGGAAGAAGGGAGTAAGCTACACCCACTATCAAATGGAGAAAGTGCTTCAATTTGTGCCATATACAGTATTGCCCACTGGAAGAAACAGGAAAAATCAAAATGTGCCTTTAGGGAAGCACTAAGTAGCCTACTTGTGATCAACACTAATCAAACAGGTCTGCACTACTGAGGTGCAACAGGTCTGCACTACTGAGGTGCTGAGCTTTTGACTTTCATCCGTCGGACAATAGGAAGTTGATCACAGAGATTAAATACAGCTTAGACTTTGTAGAGAAGAAAGCTGCTTATCTGCTTGGGGAAACAGAGGCTTTTGTGTGCAGGTAGAGTACCTGTTGAAGGTAACACAAGCAGTATGTACATATATTGAGTTCAAACGCTATGAAAGCATTAATATATGCTTTATGTGCTCTATACTTCATAGAGAAAAGTCCCTGGACTCTTTATGCAAGTACCCTCCCACTGTATATTAATACATTTTTCAGAAAAAATAGAAGTATCTGCCTCGGTGATGAGCTTTGAGGCATCATCTCAGACTTGATCTTGATCCATTCAAAATTTCTACAGGCACACGGGTAATTGAAGCAGGGTTTTGGTTCAGTTTCATCTCTGCTAGCAAAGACCTTTTTTCAGTGGAAAAGAGCATTTAACATGCTACAACACAACACACAACATATTTTTTTTTACTCCACTTAAATGTTGTCTCTATGATAAAACCTCATTTGTGTATTAATTATTACTTCGTGGTTAAAGGAGATTTGCCTACACATAGTACTGCTGGGAAATACTCTTCCTTCAGTATCACCAATGTTCATGTTTGAATTGTTTAATCTACAGTACATTCCAGCAAATAATGTGTTATTATATAATAGTGCTGAAAACTGCCTATGGATTACTAAGCAAAGCTTTAAGCAGCTCTGAGGACCATACCAACAAAAAAAGTCAGAAATACTTCATAGGCTGCTTGCAAAACAGCTCCTCTCTAGCTGCAATTTACTTTAAGCCACAGCAACACTGAAGAAGCTAAGAGCAAGAGCACAATTGTACCAAGAAACACACTGATAAAACCAGTATTTTACAATAAAACCAACTTACCTCCATCCCTAGTAGTTTAAGAGCTTTTGGCTAAATATTAAAATAGAAAAGAAAATTAGTTAGGAGGGAAAATTCAAAGACTAAAAAATGCAAAGGAAAAACACATTTTGATTAAACTTACTATTCTAAATAACTGTATCAATAATGGTACAATTAACTAATCTTCTCCTTAATTGTATTTCCTGGAAGGCAATGGGTTAGAAATTTTTTTCCATCCTGCACTCAGTTGAAATCTTTTGATTAAGTTGGAAGAGTTAAATGAGAATAGAAGTCATTAAATTTTCACAAAAAGTAAAAAATAAAAATGATGCTTCTGAACAGAAAGAGGGTAAATGTACTCATAGGAAACATGGAAAAAAAAAAAAGAGAAATACAACACATCTTCAAATGTTTTCCATAAAAATATTTCCTCTGTTCTATAATGGAATCTCTGATTTACATTTTCCGTAAAAGGCTTAATTGTTTGGTCAATTAGATAGTACTATATATATACATATATATACATACATATATACACACATACAGTATTCTGACTACAGAATAGATTACTTTGGGGTTTGAGTAGCCTTCTGATCATTTGAAGCAGTTGCTTTTTGTAAGCAAGCTTCACTTGATCTTCAAAAACCCACAATTCAAACAAAAAAAAAATTAAGTAAGTTAATGAAGAGAATTATTCTAACTGCATAGAATAAAATGTTTAACAAGGGTCCATGCTTGATATTCTTATAATTGGTCTATGGCTCTGAAATGTTTACTGAGATTGCAGTGGTTTCTGTAGAATACGGTTTATGCTCATAGCAGTTCCTTATAGGGACTTAATTATTTGGAAAACAAACCTGATGTGACCAATAGAATTTACAGTTCAAGTTATAACATCAAGCTACAACTTAAAGAAGGAAGAAGTAAGTACACAGGCAAGGCGGTTAGAAATACTTGGGTAGTAAACTACTTAAATAGAAGGCAGTTCACCTCCAGATCAAAGTATTTACCATCTGCTGGCTGCTTCTATTAACTAAAGTGTTTTATGGGATCCTTACATAACTGTACCACTAGAAGTTCAACATCAGTCTTACAGCATTTCTTTAGCATTGGACATGTAGTATTTCACAATCATGAAGGAACAGAGTACTGGTTGTTTTTACCATCAGCGTGATGGCCACATCCAGAATTAACTCATTCTTACCCTCTTTGGTCCAAATAAATTATTATAAAGAGTCCGAAAACTTTTTCTAGTATAGTTGCAGCGATAAGCTCCACCCATGAGATATTCAAGTACAAGACCAATATCTATTAGGCTGATATGATAATCTGGTGGAAGATTGCCCTACCAAGAGCAAGGAAACAAACAAAAGAACAAAATAAGAATTTAGAACAAGAAAAAATAACATACATGAAATTTATATTGGTGCAGCAGTAATATTTATAGGTACTTATCTCAGTCTCTGATTATTTATACAAAATTAATGAGAACCAATTCAAATGATAAATGTTTGGGGGACAGATTGAATTTTTGGAAGTATTTATAATTGAGGACAATTTTTCATTTGTAATTTACTTGTACATTGTATCAGTATCAATACACGTCCCAGTTGTTTGCAAGAGCTATATTGGTGAAGTCAATCTTTATGTGACTCTTTATATTGACCATTATTAATCCAACATAAAAGTATGATTTGCTTAATTTCATAATGAAGATCAGACACACTCTACAATTTATAAAAATTTGCATTTTGCCACAATATTACCTACAGAGTTAAGAATACAATTCAGATAATGATTTAGATTTATACGTAGCCCAGAATTAAAGAGAAAAGCCTATAACTTCTACAATCACATGTAAGAGCTAGATAGTTGCATTAACTCTTCTAGAAAAATAAGCTGAAAACTGCTTTGCTGTTTGAGCTATATCCTACAACAGGAACTCATTCTACAACACCACTGAGCAGTAGCTACAATGAAAGAACTATATCCTAAGCAAACACATCACCTCCATGTTAACCCAACTGAATCCCCGAGACTGCCGCTGAATGAGTGAGCCATGAAAATGCAATGAAGAGACAGACAGAAAGCAGAATGCAGAAAAGCATTAGTGACAATCAAAAAGACAAACACCAAATGAGGTAAGTTTAACTGTGTAGTATGTCAATACGAATTATGCATCAACTCAGTACTGCACTGATTCCCACATTTAAATCTCCATGGATAAATGGGAGTTTCCTTTCAAAAAAAAAAAAAAAAAAAAAAAAAAAAAAAAGGAAGACTATTCCTTGCAGTTAAATTTTATGAAATAAAAGCTCCAAAACCTCAATGAGAGTAAATATATAACTCTGTCATAGATAATGAACTAATGAGCATGTAGTGGAAACAAACAACATATTTAGGTTTTGTAGCACTGAGACAAGACAGTTTTTCCCGAGTAAAAGTAGGATTGCTCGGGAGCAAACTAAAAAACATGCAATGCAACATACAAAAGGGAAGAAATTCTTTGCTGGGGAGTGCAGCTTCTACTAAACCTAGCAGGTCTTTCAGTCCTCCTTTGTAGTACTCAATTTGGAGTCTACTGTGAAGAAGAAATAATATCTAAATCTTAAATAATACAACACACTACTAGCAGCTTTTCAACTACAAAAATTAGACTGATATCATTATTTACCTCAAGTGAAAAGTCATTTGACTTCCCTGTTTTCAATAGCTATCATCTAATTTCACTCCTGCTGTGCTTGCTTTTATTGTTGACTCATATTATTAGTGCAATAATGCAAATGCAGCTTTTAAGCTTACCTTTTTCACATCTCTGACTAGCAAATGCAGTGTATTTGGAGGACCCAATCTCTGAAACAAAAATTATTTACTGTCCATTAGAGCTTCAATAATTCATATTTTACATAAACAAAAATGACACTGTAAGAATTTAAGGCATCTATGTGCCATTACGTTCTACAGGGTTGAAAATAAGGAACTAGGCTACAGTGACATGCATAGTGTTAATCAAGAGTTGCACAGTCCTTTTCTTATAGCCCTTTATGTGGTAGTTCAGGAGCCTTGATTCAAGTCACAGCTGCTGCAAGCCTAGTCATCAGGAATGTGCATATGTAGGGAAACATCAGGACGCTCATATGATAGCAGTGGCTCCCTCTAATGCTATTCACCTTCTATTTACCTTTAAGGCTCAAAGCTTTTTAGAAACCAAATCATTTCAGAAGCATATATCAGAAGGAAGAGAAGAAAAAGGTCATTCCTATACAGTAGAAAAGATATCACAGGGCATTTTTTACTTCTACTCACTCACAGTATTATAAAGTTCTTCCAGTCGAGGAATAGTGAGGAAATGTTGCATGTTAACTCCATTCTCAATGAGTAGTTTAACAAAGTCCACTCGATCCAGAACCAGTGCATCCAGCATAGCCTGCTCCAGCGAATTCACCTGAATCACAGAACAGAGAACGTGAGATCACACAAGCACAGAAGATGTGTCTGACCAACAACCATTACTAGTAAGTAATTAGTAAGTAGTAAGTAACTAGTAAGTAATTACTAGTAAGTAATTTTCATTACTTTAGAGATTTTTTTCATTACTTTAGAGATGCCCAGTTTCCAAATATGCTGATGATGACTAATCATTCATTAAGGATCACTTCCCTGTCTTTCACCAACTCACCTACTGGTTTTCAAAAATGTTGGTCACAAAGTCTAATGGATCATCTCTTAATATTGTCTAAAGGGTTAGAATGCAGTGATAAAGGTGGAAAGGCCTTGAGCAGCAGCCCTTTTGATGCATGATCCCGATTTCAGACAACAAAACACCAATCTATTGCAAATGGAAGGTGAAACACATGGACAAGGTGAAACTTAAGTTTTCTTCACTTGATAAATATTTTTATAGAGGGAGGATGAAGATGTTCACTAGCGTGCTTATTGTGTTCTGATAAACGTAGGCAAAAAGAGGCAGCAGATAGGCACTGACTTGTACTGTTGTGGTACAGCTGCATGTAGTGCATGTAGGATGAGAAACATTCCTGGCTCAAAGACTGAACAGCAGCACTCCTGCAGAATTCTAATGTCAACCCTCTGGAAATGTGCAAATGAGCATTCTGTAGAGTGAAAATGCATGTTTCCCTCCCTCGCTCTTTGCTTTCAAGGATGGCTTAATCACCTTAGTTGAGTGATCTGAAAGCAGTTAACTCCTGCACGGAAAATGGATTTGTTGAATGGAATATAAAATTGAGACTGGAAACTACTAAAACCCTACAAGAAATTAAAAGTGAGATTATCTAAAATCTCCTTTCATATGGATACAGGTATAGATATCTCTCTTATAGATGGCAGAATACCATCTGCACCATTTTGCAAGACACTTAAAAACTAGTACTGTCTGGATAATTCAGTCTCCCATGCAGTTTCATAGAAGGGTAAAGCCCACCTTTGCAAACTAATAGATAGGCATACAGAGAGAGGGGGAAAAAAAAAAGCAAACAAAGTTTTCAACAGTTTATTACAAGTACATTCACCTCACCCAGTTCAAGAGTTCAAGCTTCCTTGGATCTGTTTCTTCTTCTGGCTCTTCTTTTACTTTTCCTCCTTTTTTCTTCCCCTTTCCTTTTGCTCTGGCTGCTTTAGTCTGAACTGCTGGAGATTTCTTTTCCTTCTCAGGGGCTGTACCATCACTAGCTGTAAGGCTTCCTAAAGGCTTAATTTAATAATGCACAAGTATTAGAAATCTACTTAATTGTACTACCACTATTTTATGAATACACTGCTATTGAACTTGTTTTTCAGTCACCACTTTGCACATGCAATCTACTTAAAATTACCATTTCCTTAGGTATATGAAACTTTTTGGTTTACTCATTTAAAAAAACAAAAACAAAAACTCCAAGCTGTTATCTCTAATAAAATCAATAACACTGAAAGTCAAGTAGTGAAGTAGGCAGCCTGTGGTGGGATTCAACATAGAGGCTTTCTCTCCCAAAATTCAGTGCAAGAGGTCTGGGAAAAGACACTGCTTGATTATGTGACCATTCAGCTTCTTTCCTCTCAGGAAAAGTTACAGCTGTCAAAAAAAAAACCCAAAAACAATAGCAACAAGCAGGACAAAATGTTTAACAAGGATCTTGCATAATGCCAAATTGCATCCATACTGCAGAAGCAGAAAGAAGAAGAAAAGAGGGCTCCTGACTAGTTAATTTAGGCCCTGCAGACAATATTTATGTTTGTAGCTCTTCAGGCATGTCTAGACTCTTCTGACTCCTTCCCCTTCTAAGCTATCTACCCAAAACAGGAAAGCACACGTGCAAGTATCTTGACATTCCTTGCCTGTGCTATGGAGGCTTAAATTACACCAGCTAACACTTAGGTTATATAACCCCCATGTGCAGCTTACAACCATCTGTGCGCTGCCCAGAAAACTAGAGAACAAAGCCTGCTATATTTTTGTTTGTTTTTAATGTTTAACAAGGCTTGTTTTCTCTTTTTTTCTCCACCTTAAAAAAATCTTCTCTTTCTGGCCATCATGAAACATTTGTAAGCCTGGACAAAAGTGCATCTGTCAATTCACAGAACATAAGGGCTGAATCCTCCTGACCAAAAAACATTCTTCATGGATTAGAAATGACAGTGTACCACAATTAGCTGACAGCGGATCCACAGATTGTTGCAGAGAATGATAATGAAATAGGAGAGACAGTAGATGGATTCAGTTGCCAGGTGGTACATCTGAATTTAAGTGCAATGCTAGGGAGACTGGGACATTCATTTCAACAAAATCTTTTATACAAATAATATTTTATAATATTTAGGATCATTTAATTCTTTCCTTGTGAGCATTCCAATGATCTTTGAAAACATTACTATAAGTAAAGGAATAAAGCAATATCTGCAGCACCATTCATTAGAATTTTAATTACACAGGCTTCTAAACGAAATAAATCTTAGCATTACATAAAGCACATACGTGAATAGTGTTCATTTTATGGTATAGTTTCAGGAAAGACGTCTAACTTTAAAAAAATAAGAATTCTTGGAATCAACTTTATGTAGTTCAGGCTGATTTCTTCATAACACCATGGTAATTCAACACCAGATGGCTCAAACAGTAAAGCAAAAAGCATCAATACAGAGAAATAGAAGTGGCTTAAATAGAGTATTTTAGTTATACTGATAAACAAAGGCACCACAGTGATTCGCCATTGATTTGAAACAGTGTAGCACCACATTCTAAAATTTTGAGAAGGAAAATTTCACTGCAGAAACTAAAGCTTTACTAAAGAACTGTTTCTAAGTTCACTTAGCACAGCACTACCAGAGGAGTTTTCAGCAGCGGTTTCCTTTGGTTGTCTACATTTTTGCTCCATTAATCCAAACTGACATTTTCAAAGCTATAAAGGAAGCAAAATATGCAATTACTTCAAAGCATCTCCATGAAATTCAGCCTTGATACATAACTTGAACGGGTAGTTGGAGACTTCAGCAACTACTAGCGTGTGTCAAAGAGATAAAAAGCAAAGTTGCTTTCCTTTTTTCAGAATTAAGTTTTTGCAAGTGGCAGCCTAAGTAAATTTCAAAACAAACAGGTTGTTCTTAATTAATGAAATGCCCTCCATCAGCTCATCATAAACAATAATTCAATAATATTCCTCCTGCCAGCAAAATCCAGGGAGTTAATATTTGACAACTTATTTTCAATTTTTAGCAAATAACATGGTCTTACTGGCCAGTGGTGTCCAAAGACAAATATTTGGCTGCGTGCAATGTCTACACGGTTCCAGGCTAAAGCCAAGCTGAGCTGGTCTGGAGCAGATGCATTGGTACCTAAACAGAAACACATGCCAATATTTGGTATTTCATGCATGATGAAACATCACAGAACAACCTTCTGCAATTCCCTTTCCCAAGAATTAAAAGCCAGCAAGCTTATTATCACAAGAATAATTCTACTACAAAGTGGTGCATGCACCAAACCAATTTCCAGCATCTTCCATTTGACCTCATAATCCTAATTTCAAAAGGATTAAGCAGACTGTCTCTCTATTTCCCTTAGAGCTCCCAGATTGACTTTATATTCTGTAGCTAAAGATAGACATAAAACTGTTCTAAAAGGCTCCTTTGCACAGCTCCCTTGGCTGATGCTGTAGATATGAGCACAATAATTCCTCTCTTAATCTCTTACTTAGCCGTAGGGACTCCAGCGTTCTCATACTGAGCCTGCTATCAACTATAAATATTCAGACAGAAAACAGATGTTGTTCCAGCAAACATAACACTCTCCAAATAAACTGAGAACTGATCCTAATTTTTGCCCTAAGGCTTAAAGAATACAATCTGAGGCCTGGAAAAAGCCAGTCTTCTAATCTTCCTACCATTTCTTCTATCTTTATTAATATGTGCAAAGACTGCGATAAAATGTGCTGAAATATCAGGATAGCTGTTGGCAGCATTTCCATTCCAGGCTCTCAGGTGAGGAAAGCGACACAAAAATTTCAGTCTAGATTTTATACTTTGAGCTGATCTGAGTTGCAATCAAGTATTCTCAAGTTAGTACTTTGAATAAAAGAAAATAAACCAAAAATTTAAATATTTAGAGTGAACTTCAGGCAGTGTGTAGACTTGACCTTTTAGGAATCACAGTATACATCCTTCCTTGCAAAACCCACCTTTGAGGAGAGCAGTTAGGATAGACATCTCAATGTCCTGTTGCCCTTCAGACCCCATACGGAACACAGTGATCTAAAAGACAGCATTAAACCAAAACACAGAATTGCCGTACATGAAAGATGGACTCTAAATTATAGATAGGAAAAAAATAAAAATAAAGATAAAAATAAAGATAAAAGTAAAAATAAAAATAAAAATAGAGCAGAATGGTAAAGGTTTATTTTCCAAGGCTTAAAATTTTTCAAAACGTCCAGTTCCACTATGTTTTTCTTTTTGAAATTACAATTTCACAAAAACTCTGATTTATACTTTTTCAGAAGACTTATCCTAACTAACCCCTACACAGTTAAATATGATAAACTTGCTGAAATTCTTCACCAAATCCCAGAATTTTCACGAACAGAGACAAAACTGTCATGGCAAACTGATAATTTTCTCATATTTTGCAGTAATAAGAGAAATGCCAACTTGGAAAAAGGAAACACTAACTATTAAAGCTAACTACGATAGCTTTAATGTTATTGACCATAACACTCAAATATTTCAAAATGATGTGGTTTGCCACATAATGACCAGCAAAACAGATACAATTAATTTAAAAATCAGATACTTCTAGTCATATTTGCTTAACTGAGCCCATTCCAATTCTCTGCCTTTAAGAACTGCAATTCCTGCAAAGCATAGCCATTAAAGGAGCCACATATTAAACAATGAATAATATTCAAAAGTGTATTCTATATTAATGATATTCTTTCTGAATAGAGATAAAAAAAAAACAACGATCTTTCACTTTCCAAAAACATCTCTGCATAGTAGATGTCAGCATTAAGTAGTGGGAATGGCAATTTTTTCAACATTTTGAATAGATTTTACTTCTATACAAAGATAAATGTTTGCCACAAGACATGAAAGAATTAAAGGAAAAGTTGTATTACAGAACAAGAAAGCAGACAATATTATATAATCAAATGCAGTTTGTAAGCCTGCTTATGTTGGGCAGTCAGCATTTGAATTTTGCTGTGATAGTCATTTTTAAATCTGAAGCAGTTTGGCTAAGGCAGCAGTCAGTTCTTTTTTCTCTATTAGTTCTTCTAGAGAGGCTGACTTATAATCAACTTATTGTAGTTACAACCAACTTGACTTCTGATGAAAGCAAAGTACAGAATTCATCCTGGCACTATAGGCACATAAATGCATCAACAGTACATTCATATTACTGGAATTGTAGAATCATATAATGGTTTGGGTTGGAAGAGACCTTAGATGCTATCTTGTTCCAGCCCCACTGCTATGGGTAAGGACACCTCCCACTAGACCAAGCTGCTCACAGCCTTGTCCAGTCTGGCCTTCAGTGCTTCCATGGAGAGGGCATCCACAGGCTCTCTGGGCAACCTGTTCCAGTGTCTCACCACTCTCACAGTAAAGAATTTATTCCTAATATCTAGTCTAAATCTGCCCTCTTCCAGTTTAAAACCATTTCCTAAAAAGTCCCTCCCCAGCCTTCCTGTAGGCTCCTTTCAGGTACTGGAAAGCTGCTATAAGGTTCCCCAGGAGTTTTCTCTAGAAAAGACTTCATATAATAATAAGCTGAGTATGCTACTTTATGCAGAAGTAAAATACAAGCAGATGGGGTATCTATTTGACTGCAACACAGAGTTGCAATATTAGAAAATACAGCGTTTGTTGAATTTTGTTCCAAGTAACATTGGCAGATGGATGAGTCCCTAGAGAATTTAGTTCTGACAAAAGTATTTAAATATATGCAGCAAAATTGAAATCTGGCCTTTATGACCTCAAGAACTAAGTAGTATCAGAATATGACTGAAATAAAAAAACAGAGATAAAACTCAAAATAGTCCTTCTCTTCTTGCAGGAATCCCCCAGTGCTGAAGGGAATAAAACATCAGATTTAATGAACAATGGTGAGAAGAACATCGGAGAGAATATGGGAAAGAAGAAAGCACAATTAGGAGAACAGACTGCTATTATATTGTACAGGACATGAAAAACAACTGGTGAACGCTTAAATATTGTTATCTTGAAAGCTATAGATACATAAGCAAGTATTCCTTGGCAGCTGAGATGAACATTATGTAGAAAAGCTGGAAGCATGAGCCAATACCAAGCATAATCTCAGGAGAAGGGCAGCTTTTTGGAGAATGTGGAGAATATGAAACTAATAGAAACACTGCAAGGAACTTAGTGAGTGCCTCACACAGATGTCCATGCTCCAATCCTATCTCAGTTATCTTAGGACTCCTTCCTGAAAGGGGTCAGAAATGGCTTTATAGATAAATCCTCAGAATCACTGGGCATATTCTTTCATGCATTTTTTGACTCAGCCAAAATCTCCTAGCGACACTAATTAGTACAGGCTTTATGCATGAAAAGGTAGGCTCCTAATGGTAAGTCTACAGATAATACATTGGCATCGTATCTTAAGAAGTGATTTGACTTACTGTTTGAAAATTTTCAAAACAATTTTAGTGTCCATATTTCCAAAGCAGAAGAAATAAAAGATAGCAAACATCATTAAGCTTCTTCACAACTAAAATGTTCTTTATATTTCAAAATACTTGCTTGTTGCCTTTTTATTTATATGGGAATTAAAGAGTGTTGAGCAATAGATCTGCACATCTCAGAGAATCAGATTACATCCAGAGGAGATGATTACATAGATTTCTGGAGGATGCGTACACTTTTCTTGACTGGGGCACCAGGCATCATTCTAATCTGATAGAAGTTATTTCCTAAATTTCAATCACTTAATTGCTCAAGAAAAATGTAAAAATAATGCCTGGTCAGAACTTTCATCACTGTGGAGCTGCCCATATGAAATGAGGACCAGCATAAAGCCTGATGTACCAATTTTGGGAAGTTTCTTTGTATTGTGATGAGAATCATAGCGCGAAGTTTAGCACCAGCTGACGCCTTATGCAGTATCGTCATGTTAAGTAACAAGCTGTTGTGGTTTAACCCAGCAGGTGGCTGAGCACCACAAAGTCAATTACTCACTCCTCCCCTCTTCCCAGTGAGATGTAGGAGAATATCAGGAAAAAAAAGTAGAACATGTGGTTGAGATAAAACTATTTACTAAGATAGAGACAAGGAAAAGGATGATAGTTAGGACTATCCATAGACATATGAGTGTACATAACAGGTAATGGACAAGCAATTGCTTACCACCCCCTGACCAATGTCCAGCTGGCCCCTCTGAGCAGCAGAAGAGAAAAAGATCAACTGCCACCCCCTTTAAAAATCCTGCATGACGCCAGATGGCATGGAATGTCCCTTTGGACAATTTAATTCAGCTGTTCTAATTCTGTTCCCTCCCAGCTCCTTGGGCCTTTGCTGAGAATGGCCTTGGCTCTGTACCACACTGCTCAGCAGCAACTATAAACATCAGTGTGTTATCAATGTTGTTTTCCTCCTACAACCAAACACATAGCATCATACCAGACACTCCAAAAAACTATTCCATCCTAGCTGAAATTAAGATACAAGCAAATACTGCACAGAAAATACTGTTTTTTCTTCCCTCCATATATCTTTGGTTAATATAGCAGGATTTACAGTTTTTTACTGAACAATTAAACAATTACTTCTATCAAACAGAACTATACTCCCCAGTGAAAAGAGTATGTGCTGTAAGGAATACTGTTTACTGTTTATTTAAAATTCTAAGGAGGAAGTTACAGATCAGTTTATTGTGTACTGTATTAAGCTTGGGAAGAAATTAGATAATGATTTGCCTCTAAGCTGACCAGAGGCAGAAAATGTGCACTCTGCAGAAGGAAAATACACTTAGTATTGAGGGAGTATGAAACATAATTTTCCTAAGAAATTAAAAAACTTTCTTTTCTCAGCTTCAGGGTTAAAATATTCTCTTTACCAATGCCTGTGTTACAGCCATCACTTCCCTAGTGATAGAATTAGGCAACCCAAAGAATCATGGTCTGAGGAGAAAGATGTGCTTATTTTCTTGCTTCTATCTATAGAAATATGCAACTTAAGCAAAAAAATATAAAAATGTCAGCTATATCTGTTCCAGTTGTAATTTGAAAACCATATAAAAATGTATTAAACTGTTTGTGTGCTATTAAAAAGCAGTTGCTTAAGACAAAAGAATGAAATGGAATTCTATCAAAACTCACAGGAAAGATCATATTTACAAAAATTCAGCAGGACAATTAGTCAGAAGAAACCACTCAAAAACTGCACAGGTACAGTGAACACAATTTCAAGACTTCTTTCTCAACAGACATGAATGCTGAAGATTTTCTTTTCCTGAGCACACTTTTTTCTGCAGCTGAGTTATGGTAGACAGGCATTAATCATATTGAGTGGTGCATAGAACAGGCCTGTTGTAAATCAGGATCATGCACAACTGGGATCATCAAGAACTTGGTGTCTTGTAGAAAAAGACTCTTTATCTTCTTACACAGGAGAAGAATCTGAAGCTGGTTTTAGAGGCTTTCCAGAAGACAAAATCTCTGTTTCTAGGAGTCTAGGTTTATGAATGCATCATTATGTATACTTATGGGTCTTAAGAAAGAAAAAACAAAGTTGAACTGTAACCCTGGGCTTCAAAGTACTTGCAAAAGTCTGTTCATAGCAATTATCTTCATGAAATACTTTTAGGACACTTACAAGTTCCTTTTTTTTCATGCATTCCATCAGAATGATAAACAGCTGATGAGCTTGACTCCTGCTGTAATTGAAGGTTTTCTGGATAGTTACTAGAAGCTGGTCCCTGAGAGATTCACTTATTATCCTAAATGATAAAGGAGACACAAAACAAGACGTTGTTGGAATTAATGTATATGTAAGGAAAGTCTGCTGCTTGAGAAACATAATTTTTCATGCACCAGAACAGTGATTTTATTCAAAAATAAATAAAAACACACAACATTTTCGCATTCAATATGGAAAGGTTGTGAAGTTTACAAAGTAATAACAGTAATCAGGAGATTTGTACCCAGACTGGCTCTTGTGCATCTCAGCCCTTCAATAAAGATTTAAAAACTGGCAAGTACTTTCAGCTATTCTTTTGCCCTGGAATGGAATCTCTATACTACAAGATGGCTCTTATTTTTTCTGTGAATGTGCATATATACTCTTGTTAAGTTCAGCCTTCAGAATTTCAGTAGTACAACTTACTGGATATGCATCTTTGCCTCTAAATGTTGCAAGGTTCTTTGCGTGTAATCAAAAATGTTTTTTGTTTGGGAGGATTTTTTGATTGGGAGGAGCAGCATTTGAAATAGAAAATGCACTACTCTGCTTCCATTTGGAGTATCTATCAGGAGAGATCTTATACTCTGCAGAGAAGTTGAGCTTTATGCTATATGTTTTGTACCTTTGAACAAATTGCACTCTCTACCAACAGAAACAGAAGACAACCAACTGTAAAAATCACAAATTCCACAAAAAAGGGTTCATTTGGGCAGTGAAGCAGAATGCTTCAGACAAATATTTGGCTCTGGTCATGGCAGCACTGCTCTGAAGAGATATCAAAGACACAAGAAAAAGCAAAAGAAGAAAGCCTGACATTTATTCAACCTGGCACTCTTGGAGCACGAATGTCATTCATAGAGCACATTAGATGCAGGCAGTACATATTCTGCAAATACATGAACTATTAAAACTCAGCTCTGACCTGAGAAAAGGAGTAATTCTGGGAACCACTTGTTCCTTACTTCTAAAGCATCCAAGTCAGCATCAAGTATCATGCAACAAACTTTGATGGATCTTATATGACAGTGCGCTGCACTGAGACCAAGCTTATGTCAATAGGCTGTCAAATACATTTGAAGTAGTAACAATTACTACTCATTAACACCAAGGAAAAGATCAAACAGGCAACAAAATCTGACAGCAGAATACCTCTGTTAGGAACATTTTGTATCTGAGCTTTTTTTCCAGGAAAATGAGGCGTAATCCCTCATCGTCTCCCCTGAGCAAGACACAGCTTTAGTGAAAGTCTCATAGTCTTACCCTCCTTCTTCTGAATACTTGTGTGCAAATGACAGAATATCAGATGCTCGTCCACTACCATCACAAATCACTACAGGGAGAGGAGGTTCTTCTCGTAGGCACTCCAAAACAATGGAGATAACATTGGGACCACCTTCCACAATAAGCCCAACTACAGGAACACCCTGTCCCAGCCCTGAAAAAAAAATAGAAGAGCAGAAACAAAAAAGAAGTGTAATTGAAACTGAGCTTAAGAGGTTGATATGTTATGAAGGGGTGCGATTTTCTGTGTTACAGCATCACTTAAAACCAGAACAGTTAGGAAAAATTATGATTATTTCACAGCCAGTGCCAAGGAAGGTGTCTGTATACTGTTTCAAAGTCTCAGATAGAAAACAGCAAGTCTCTTTTCAGTTATGATGTGGTTTAATCCACAGTAGGAAGCTGTGTTCCACATATCTGTTGGCTTGCTTCTCTGCCACAGTAGGATGGGGAAAGAATTGGGGAAAAAAAAGAAAACTTGGGAAAAAAAAAAGAAGAGAATACAAAAACTGATACACAACACAATTGAATTGCTCACCACCAGACAAATGGTGAACTGTTCGTAATCTCTTGCAGTAGACACCATGCACAGACAAACCAGCTGAACATGATCCTACTATCACTTCATTATCTCCACTGTTACTTGAATGGCTCCCTGCTGCTGTGTCTTTGATGTTTTAACTGTTCCTTGGTTACCTACAGGAAGTCTTCAGTAAGGTGACATATGCCTATGCTTTCTCCTAAGACAGAAGTATGAATTTGGTGTCTTTATCATGAGGCTGAGATGGCTGGCCGATGGAAGAGACGACAGCTGAGCATCCCTTTGCTGTCCCTGCCTCACTGTGATCTCCAGGCATAGGATGACAAAGGGAAGCCCACAGGTCACACAATCTCAGTAGTCTCAGTCACAATGGGGAAATGAAGGACACAACATTACCTGAAGGCTGACCAATCCCCCCACTACAAGCATTTGAATTCAATTCTTAATCTGTAAAATGACCAGCGTTCCATAAGTAAGATGCACTTTTTTTTGTACAGTTGACTTCATGTTTTCATTCCTCTCTGAAGAATGGGAACAGCACGGATAGTAACAGCAAAAGCTTCCTGACATCCTCCTGTCAGCATACCCCAGCTCTGATAACGAGTAGTCACAGAGCATTGGCTGGCCTCTGTGTCCATGGAATCCTCAGTGACTACTATTGAAATTTCCAGAAGAGGCGCTAGTGCTCGAGTGCTTGAAGTGATTAAAAACAAACAGAACAACTTTCTGTACATTTTTACTAGTAAATGTACTGCAAAGCTTTACAAATTCAAATATCCTATACGTATTCCCAACTTTGCCCCTCGTGTGAAAAATCTCTTACTTAAATCAGAACAAATATCCCCAGCCCAAAGTGGTATCAAAGGAAATAACACAAAACATCTTGCCTCTGGGCCCTGACTTCCTTATCTTCCAAGCCAGTGCTCTCTTTAATAATGTTACAACACTCCCAGCACTTCTGCAGAAGACAAAGATGTTAAAAGCATAGCCACGTTAGCCGTCTCAAATGTCTGTATGGGGGCAACAGTGTGTGATAGTGTCTCTATGCTCAAAGGCAAGAGGCATAGTTTTGGTGAGTTAACTTTCTTCAGATAACTGGAGGTTAAAAAGAGTATCTGAAGACTTTCCAGAACGCTTAGATATCTTTTGGCAGATCTCTACATGTATCTTTAGTCTTACCCAGCACTCTATTTCATTCTTCTGCTCTACTGTAAAGATAACTTAAACCCTATTGGAAACTTTTGTACAGTACAATGCAATTAGTATCTTGAATGCTTTGTTTTTCTTATTTTTATAGGTCTACACAACTTCTGAAGGCATTTCTCGTAAATCAGAAAGACAGCTGGTAGAACTGATGCCTATTTGCCTGCAACTTTTAATTCAAGCATGGAATCTAAGACTGATAAATTTCTCTTTATCATTTCTGATTTGCTTTAACTTGCTAGAAAGCCATCAGTACTAGCATTTCTTATTTATTTCATCTCTAATTTTTTCAGTAAAAAATGTCATTTTAAATGCATTTTTCTTAAATAATGATGAAAACAAATCTAGAAAATTGTTTTAGAGAGGACGTTAACTGACATAAATTTTAAAACTACATGAAACTCAAAATATAAAAACACCAATGTGAAAAGTAAAAATGCCGAGCTATGTCAGGAAGATCACATAATTTTAAATGCAATATTTCAAATGAAACCAATCCATATAAAAGAAAAAAAAAAAAAAAAACAACAAAAACCTTTTGTAACAACACCTGGAATCAGAAGCCACAGAGATACAGAGGATTCCTGTAAGTGGGATGTGCAGAAAATCATCTCATTCTGTGCTTTTACTGATGCTTAAGAATTCTTTCCAGAAATGCATAAATATTTTATATTTTCCTTTCTTTAAATTCTTACTGCTTTGAACCTTCATCTTACAATTATTTTTCAATCTTTTCATCTTCCTTTTATGTCATTTTCCTTCACTTTTCTGGCTTTTCTATGATGTTAGATGTGGGCTCTTCCATCACTATTCAGACAGCGTATGTCTAGCTTAGTCTCACAGTCCTGATCAAACTCCTGCTAGGAAGAGTGGTAGAAACACTTAATTTCAATACCATGAAGTATTTCTAGCCTCTCTACCTTCCCTTCCCTTAATGTGCTATGTTTACAACTTGCCCACTGTACTTACGTGTATTAATTTTCTGGAGAGAAATGTGTTTTTCCAACTGACGTCGTAACTTCACTTCAGCTCCATATTTACCTAGAGTACCATTGTCTGCCAGAATGAAGTGGGTGTGGGAACTGTTGAGCACAGAAAGCTTGCTTAGAGGGTTTGACATTGTTTGGTAAACACGTGTTACCTGTCAAAAGATTAGGTGCACCAGGATTAGAACTATGAAATAAACATGAAAATCCTCCAGTGTTCAACAAAAGCACACACCTTATGAGGAAACAAATCAACCAGATGTTTATAATTGAAAACATAGGAGAATTAGAAAAAAACTTGTCTTCATACTCAAAACTCGAACTTTTCACAGCACTGTTTTCATTGGAGGATAACAGCCGTGTTTATACATTCTTTTACATTTTCACCTACTCTCATTGATGTACAGCCCTTGATCACACCCTTTCTTACTCTCACTGCTTTAGGAATTACATTCCTGCTTGGAGTCAGCAGAAATTAATGTACCACTGCTGAGTACCTTTCTATAATAAATGCAAGTCTTGTACACGTCAAAGCACTTAAATGATTTATGGAGCACTCAGCATAGACACGGTGAAGGTAGAACCTAAAACGAACTTTTGCCAGAGAGAACTTTAACACTGAAAGTAATGTAAACCTCGCTACCTCTGGGTATATTTGCTTAGCTATATATAGAATATAGATAGAACACTGTCAAATATATTTGAACAACAGCTTTTCTTTAAGGAGATTTCTAATTTCAGCAGTGCTTTCGAAACTGTGAAAATTAATACTCCAAATAGATGAGCTGCCTATTTCATTACTTTAATTACATGTTAATTCCTTAAAGACTTACATCTTTTCCTATCAGATCTTCCTTGTTTTCTACAATGCCCCATGGTGCAATTCCTATGGCACAGATTCGTCCTCTGGATTTTGAAGAATGGTCTTTCAAGGCATCTCCCACATGACGAATGACACCTATAGATAAATCTCACTGAATTAAATCTTGTCCCTCTTGAGAGAGATTACCAAACATTGAATTTTTCCTCTTCTCACTGAGATCCCTGTTTTTCTGGGCTGCATTCACTACGTAAACTGGTATCTATTTAAAATAGAGCATGCAATGCAGACAAACCCATGCTTGTATTTTGCAATTGCATGTAAACCTGAGTGGCTTGTTTTTTTCATATCCTTATTCTGAATTCACTCATGTCTTGGACAGACTTACCCAGTTACTTAATTACACAGCATTCTTTGAAGATCTATTGTATAATCAATATTAACACAAAATGAATTTTAAAAAATAACACCTGAAAAACCCCCAACAGTGAGAGGCTAATCCACCACTGAAAAAAATGTACCATATCTGGTGGCAGATTCCTTGCTACTAAAATCAAAGACAATAACCTTTTTCAGAGGAAACACTGTGTAATGCAAATCAATGCTGATGCAGGAATATTTTACTGTCTGGGCTGGGTAGATTAATGAAAATCATTACAGTTCTATTTTTGTAGTCTAGTGGCTAACAATTCATTCATGAAGACTTAAATCTTACGCCTTTGGGAAAGAACAGTAACTGAAAATCAGTGAATTCTCAGGTAAACTAGAAGTGCTGGTAATTGTTTACCTGTACTAACACCTCCAGTGAAAATCCAGGCTCCGGTGGTCATGGCAGCCTTTATCAGACCTTTTCCAAATACTTGTTTCAGTTTCGGCTGCATTTCAAAGTTCTGGAGGCCTCCATGCACAGAGATTAAGAGTTTGGGCAATTCTAGTTGCCAGTCTTTCACCATGAGATGCAGCAGAGAATCTGGTTTGGTGTCATACGACACACGGATATACTGAAAAGATCAATGCATGATATTATCTCTCTATTCTGTAAATTGTCCATTGACTAAGCACAGAATGATTATATTAAACCCCCAATTTCTAAAGAAGAATTTTACAAATTTTAATCAATTTAAGGTTAATTTTATCTGCTCTTTAGTAGAAATAGGTTGAAATGCTTTGCTTACTGGCAACAGATGAATTTAAAAGAACTGCTTTCTTCTCCTTTCCTTCAAAACTGACTATGAGCAAGCTCTTTTAACAAACCTACACTGTTGGAGGCTAGCTGTTCTAAATGACTGGAAGTTGCTTTTTTATCTTTCCTAAAATCTTGGTTTGACTGCTAGAGACCCAGTGATCATTATGAGAAATAAGAGGCCTATGTTACGGTTATCCCATTCACTGTGGATATAAGTATTCGATATCTGAAAGAACAGTTTCTACTACTCACAGTTCAATTCTGCCTTTGTGATACCTTTTCAACTACTACTCTATGAAACAAAACCACGGAACAAACTAGTGCTAATTTCTGCTTTAAAAACAAACCAATCAGCGCTAACAAAAATCAAGCCCTCCTATATATTTTAAACAAGTTTTTGCAGTGAATTGTTTCAACTGGCAGTCTTGGCAGAGAGATATGGAAGCAAATATAGAGAATAAATAATCCAGGTCTGAATCTGAGTGGCAAGACAGAAAGAGATTTTTTGCGGAAACTTGAATGCTGTTACTTCCACTGCTCAGAAAATTTAAAGATCCATTTTCCAGCTCCAAGAAGCTTCCATCTTTCAGGAAAGCTAGACTCATTTCTATTTCTATTAGATGTTGAACCTAAAAAAAATGTATATCCAGCCTGGGTTATTTGGCCCACAGTCTAACAAGCGTAGTACAGACAGAATCACCAGCACTATATGACTTCCCAGATGATATTTACTAACAGTAACTTTAGTGAAGCTGTTTCTTCAAGATATTTTAAGGTGTTTTCTAGGTAGGTATTATTTTTTTGTTCTCACTTCTCTCTTGCTTATTCTTTTTCATCATCCTGTCTACATCTTTCTTAAGAATTGAAGAGAATTCCTTTGGTTTCAACAAACTGTGTATTGTGCAAGCTGAAATCTTGGCAAGTTTCTATTGATCTAGCATATGAAATGAGTGTCACAGAGTTGGCTATGGCCTTACCATGGCCTTATTTGAATGTCCTCCTCCCTGGAATTCAAGATTTCCATAAGCATCAGTTGGGTACGTTTGGGTGTGTTTGCTGATGGACCACTTCTCTGGCTGAGCTTCCACTTGCTTTGTTTCTTCTCCATTTTTATTAGCTGTTGTACTTGGAGGAGGTGGAATATGCTGGTTAATGAGCTGGCCACAGCAGCACCTAAAAGTTAAAATTTTAAGTAAAATTGAATACAGTATCTTCAGTATCATTTTGTGATTAAAAAAAAAAAAAAATCATATATGTGATATTCAGCTGACTGTGCCTGGCTCTACGTGGATCACAGAAACATCTCTAGGTCATATCTGCCACATTTACGTACACACAAATGCCAGATTTACTAGCCTGCAAGTGTTTCCTTACAAGCAAGGACTATACATTTCACTTCACTTGTATAATAATCAGGATGGAATTTCTATGCTAAAAGACAGGAGAAGAGTGCAGAACAGGAGCAGTGACTCTGTTTCATGCTCAGAGGGGACAGCTAGCATGGAACAAACAGTTACATTGTCCAAACATCTTGGACTGCAATTTAGATAGCTCACATAGCAGCACTTATTGTTTGAACTAAAAAATCCATTCCTCCTTGCATAGTACTGTTATTGGTGATGCTGTCATCCAAACCTGTGAAGAACAGTATTGTTTACATCACAACACACAATAGCACGTTCTTGCTTTCAAAATTCAGTATGACATTAAACTCTCATTTGCAATACTAAGAACTAACAGCTCACTGCCCCTCCTGCACAACTCTATAATCTCTGTATGCTACATCCCACAGCTCCATACAGACTAGGGTGAAATTATGCCTTGCACTTTTGTTGTCTATCAATCTCACCTTAAGGGCAACAAGTAAACTTGGTCCCACTTTCACCTGTCTAAACACAAATATAGTCCAGTTTCATCGTTATTAACTTTTCAGTCAAAGGCAAAAATTTCAAATGTTACCTGCTAATGTCTTTGTTGTTGGCAATTACATAAATGCATTCTCTTTTTGAAAAGGTCTTCTCTATCCAAGCCTTCTGACCCTTAAAGAGAGAAAAAAATAAAACGAAAAATAATTAAATATTCCTGCGACAAATACAGTAACATTTCCATTCTATTTTTAAATACAAGCATTGAATTCAGTAAATCAGCTCTAAACACAACATACATCTACCCATGAAGCAAGTAGGTGATGTAAGTTTCCTATGACTTGGATAAAATTCAAACCTTGAATGTGTGTAAAAATCTCTAAACCCAAACATATACACTCGACGGCCCAAAGGTATCCAAAGCTCTTCCAAAAATGCAGTTGCTCCTTTCTAATTTAGTAATTAGTAAACGGACTGAAAGTAGTACAGAAATAGTACAGCCAAGCTGTGACATAAAAAAACTGACAGCATTTAACCCAAATAATAATTTAGTAATATTATTTGTACAAAGAAATTGCTTCCCAAAAACTTTCTCTAATTTGATTAATAGCCTCTTATTTTCCTCTTCAAAATAAAGTTCTAGTTATTCCTAAAGTCATTCCTAACTCAGCAATAGCATATGTCTGGGGAGTAAGAAAGTGAATGAACATTTGACAGAAAAAAATACAAACTCTGCAGCTACGGTGACAACTGTGACACAAAATGAGGAAAACAATCCTGAAGACAAAATAAAATTTCCATTTTTGGTGTGTTTGTAAATTAGATTAAATTAGACCAATCTCACAACCATTTAAAAAGTATAAAGTGTAGGCAGCCTAGAACAGAACCTGTGCAGTGAATCTGTTCAATGAGGCTAGAAAGCCTACAGCAGAACTGCAGTCCAGTTAGGTCTGGGAATGCTGAAGGCTGCGGGTTTAGAAATGGCTGCAGGCCAGTTTCCCATACTTTTGGGCTTGTCCATCCATCACCAGTAAGGCAAAGTACCATTATGACTGGCATACTAAACGAATTTCATAAAGAAAATTCAAAAGGAACTTTTAAACTAAAAAGTTTATTAAATTAAAAATGTTAAAGCACTCATAATTTTATGATGTGAATAGACTTGCCTTGCTGCTTCTGAGTTTGAATTAAGGAACTAGTATTAATGCATTTTTCAAGTAGTAAGCAAAAGCCATGTGTTTTAGTTTCCCCTACGGAAATGAAATTTTTGCAGAGACAAAACACTAAAAATGACGTGAACTTTCAGCGCTTCATCATTAAAAAAATGGGACTTCCCTAGAAAAGCAGTAAAATCCTCACCTGATTTCCTGAATAAAGTGAATGGCAGATTTCTGTTAGAAGAAAGCTCTGACAGTCTGTCTGGTAATAGCTTAGAAAGCAGAGTAGCCCCCTAAGTGCTGCACAGCCTACAGCATGATGAATAAACAGATCCCAAACCACCAAGCCTCCAAACTCACTGCCCTTTTACCATTACATTCAGTGGTGTTGGTGTTACACGTGCTTTTGCGTACCATACTAACTTACAGAATGTTAAGGTTATAAAACAAGCTTAACAGGATCCTTATACAATGGTCACGTCCACTTTTTTTTTTTTATTTGCCTTGTTAAATAAGAACCTGTTTTTTTTGTCTGAATAAATTTTTGCATTGGTGTGCAAATCATTGATCAATTGACAGAAATGCCCAAATCAGTTTACAGGGTGGGGTGCATTTTCCACTACACAGCTGGCAACAGATGTTTCATGTTTAACTCTTCTGTAGAGAACACTGGAGAATCTAAGCTATGATATCAGAACAACTTGGATTTTCACACCATGTCATTGATTATTGCTTTACCTCATAGCTTGCCAAAGAACAAATTTTTCTATTTCGTGTACTTCGCATGAAAATAACTACTTAGCTGCTGAATTAAATCATAGATTTAATATTTGTGTTTGGACAGAAGCTTTTGCATCTTGGTATCTAAAATGAAAATATTTTCACACCTAAAAACCCCACTAGAGTTCAGTCACTATAGGAACTACAGTTGGACAACACATTATGCTCCACTGGTTTATTTTTTCAGTGCTAACGAGAGGAAGGCAAAAGCAGGCATTACAGATCACGAGAAATAAAAACTCAGCACATTCAGTCAGCCTTTGAAGTTTCACTGCTTTTGTCTGCTTAATCTGCTTAACCAAAGCTTGATTATAATCCAGTGCAAATACTTGAGCAGATATTCAGTGTCAGAAAATGGGTCATTTCCCCACTTGTTTGATACAGATTCTGTACATGCCTATGTCTGGATTGAAATGAGAAAAAATGCAAGGATGTACACTGTCCCTTATGAGTTTTTAAAAAAATTAAGCACTTTTTAAAAGCCTTGGAATGGATAGCTTCTGAAAGAACTCTGGCTGACCAGCTACAGTTTTTAGACTAGTTTTTAGAAACAGGAGTGTTGGGTTGCAAGAGAAATAAATGCTACTAGCAAGATAGAAGCAACCAAAAACACTGCAGGTTTTCCACAGACCTCTGAGAAACAACTTAAAATAACAGCAAGACCCCAACTTGCTGATAGTAATCAAGTTCAATCCTATTTATTATTGCAAATTCCGGATGTACCTATCAGCACCTGATCTTGGAAAAATCATGTTTTAGATGCTCAATAACATTTGTTCTCTTCTATGAAAACTGACTACAGGTCTCCTAAGTTATAATCAAAACCAAATCAAACCACTTCAAATTCTTGCTTGTCATGGATTTTTTTTGGTCCCAATAGCACTGAAAGAGAGCTTTCAGAGAAGACTGTTAGTTTGTACATAAGTTAACTACTGAGTTAACAAAACTAAGATTCAAAAGAATATCTCCTTTAGAGCATGAGCATTAATAAACACAAGAATTAGTTCTACAAAGATCAGTTGTTCCTGTAATATCATAAGTGAACTCCACTGTTTGCTGGTAAGTGAAAAAATGTTGAGGGGAAGGAGGGCAGAGATGAAGGTTACAGTGTCATTGGAGCACATTCAAAACCCAAACTCAACCAGACCTAAAAGCAGTGTGATCAGACCTCTCAACTGTAACGTTCTCCAAAAAATGATGCTCCATGCAATATGGACCTGCTTTTGCTGGACAGGCTGGCAAGCCTGGCAGGCTGGGCACAGGATGGGATGAAGCTTTGCCCCTGTTGTGCAGTCAGACAGCACTCATTGTAGGACATCTCTTTGGCACCTGAGGCCCTTCTGTAAGAGCAAATGCTCCCAGCTGCTGTGCTCCAGTGAAGCTCTGTCATGCTGGGCACAGCTGGGCAGCAGAGAAGCCAGCCCACAGACAGCAGCACCTGGTGCACAGAGCCACGGATAGATGCAATGAGGGAGGAGACAAGAGGCCAAAAAAGTGTTAGGCGAAAAACAGGCTAAAGTAAACACAGAATAATATAAAAATGGAGTTGGCTGGGCAGCAGTTTATTTTGATGAGAAAGAAAGAAATAACCGGAAGTGGAATGAAATTCAGACTGTGAACATGTGTGGTGTAAGCACACGTCCATTTGTTGTGTGAACAAGTCTGCAGACTTCTATAAATACCATTCAGGTAATCAAATTCCATTGCTGTTATCTGAGGGGGAAATAAAACCCACAACAACTCTGCCCAACAATCAATTAGGAAAAAAGAAATCACTGTATCAGCAGAATCTCTATTGTCTGGAACTTAAAAATCAATACTAGAGGGATTTCTACTTTGAGCTGCTTTGAATGACAACTTCCCAATTATACTGTCTAATAGCAGGTCTTTTTCAGAGGGTCATAAATGGGACATCTGGAAGCACCAGTGTACATGCTGTGTCACGGTACACAGCTTCTCAGCTTTAGAGCAGAGTCATGTCTGGCCAGCAGTTCTTGTGCTTTTTCTCATTTACAAGCATTGAAGCACCATCCCTAGATAAGTACTTCTCTAGTTTTGCTTTCTTCCAGAAATAAGCACCTTCATTTCTCTGCAGCTGAAGAACCTGCAAGTGGCTGTATCTGAGGTGCATTTCCAAACGAGCTATCCTTTTACCTCAAATCCACTACAGATATCTGTGGATCTCTTCTACATATCCAGTTTGCACAGGTTCATGCTGAATTTGCAATAGACTCTGCTTTCCAAGACTGGTGGGGTTAGTTCCCTTTACTACTCCAATGCTCACTGGGATGCTACTGAGAATGTGAAATATCAAATAATATTTGCAACAAGGAGGATCTCCTATGTTGTTTGCTAATAAGCATCAAGAAGGGAATAAAGATAGTTATAAGATTCCTTCAAATGAAAGTCTTTTTCATCAAAACAATTCTTGTTCTCATCCCAAGATAAGTTTCATATGATTCAAATTGACCCTGTGTTCTTCCAGCAAGATAACCAGAGAACCATTTGGTCCGTGAACAAAGCAAACAACACAGGCAAGATGGCAGTGCCAGTTAGCAATACTGTTATCACAGAAAAAGCCTGTCATCTGAATTATCTCAAACTCAGCCAGAAATCACTCCTGCTGATGATGTGGAAGCCAATAAACAGTGTTTCATGCCTTCATTATGCTTTGTGTTCTGGACTGGCTGGTGAGGCAGGCAGCAAGCATCTGCCAAAACAATAGGAATCATTTCCTGTCCACTTGAATTAGTTTGTGGATACAGGATACAGAAAGGAAATAATAGGCTCTCCTTTCCCAAATTTACGCAATCCTACCACATCTTGTGGAGATTCTGCTTTCCCAGAAGCTATAGAAAAGTGAGCAATGACTCTAGCCTCAACACCACAGCAGAGCTGGCTTGCTCTGCCATGGTTGTGTACATCCAGCTCTGGCACACAGTCTGTGAAGGCGCATTAGTAAAGTGTGCTGGCTGAGCCCGGATGCCCAACATAAAAGCACATAAAGCTGCTTGGGCACAGTTCAGCATCAATGTAAGGACACAGCTGGCACAGCGAAAACAAAGCAACTCAACAACCATTTGGAGAACAGAGCTGAAAAACCAGTCTATTCTAACCTGAAATAGAGAAATGCTATTATCGAAGAATATTTCTATGCTTCAATATCCTCAAATCTCACTTTGTGAAACCGATCAATACTCATGAAATCATAAGCATAACAAAATACTTCCCTCATTA